TCCATGTATTTTAAAGTACTGTAGATATTGCAGAACTAAGTAGCTAAGGGAAAGTAATCTGACCTTTAAGTTCAATCAAAGCTGGCAAGAAATGGGAAGTGGATAGAATCCAGGGAGCAGTCTGGGGAGAAAGGCAGACTGAGAGAATGTAGTGCACATCACCACAGAAAAGAAGACGTTAGACAAGAATCATGGATTTTAAAAAATCCAAATTGAATGACACAGAAGCAAACATGGCCGGAAGTGTGTGAGTCCAGCTCTGTATATTCTTGGCAACAGTTTTGTTCTTTGCAGGAGAAATGGTGACTAGAAAGCAGTGATTTAGTGTAGAACCATGAGACAGATGTAGACCACAACACACACGACACCCTTATCTGTAGAGCAGAGACTCTGACCATGTCTTTGTGGATTTTGGAAACTTCCCACACACCTAAAAGGGAAGCACATCACCAGGTGGCCACTTCATCTCCAGGGTGTCTCCAGACTTACTTTAAGGCCAGTTCACAGCCAAGACAACTGAGGAAGAGCCAACCCCCGAGGTGGGGGTGGCCAGGATGCCTGCCACGAGGTGGGGGCGCGCTGACCCTACCCTGTGGGGAGCGCTGAGCCCTCTGACAGGCGAGCCGCAGAATCTCCTAGACATCACTGGGCTGCGAGGAGGCTTACCCAGGACACATGTCTCGCTTTTTAGGTCAGCCTGGAAAATGTATAAGAAGTTAGTTAGTTCTCATCTTCATCACACAGCCTTCAGGAGGCGCTTTCCTGGCGTGCTTGTTCCATGCACACACAGCATGTCAAACTCCTGACATGAGGAACAATGGCAGAGCAGGGAGGGTCAACAGCTCCTCCAGCTGCTTATACAGTTTCCACACCGCAGGCACCAGCTGCTGTCTTAACATGGGACCCACAGGCACGGCAGAAAAAGGTTCATAGAGGAAAGTTGGCATAGGCAAGAGGCTAAGAACATATTAGAAATGCTATATATATATATATATATATATATATATATATATATATATATACACATACACACACACACACACACACATACACACACACTTTTTTTTTTTTTTTTTGAGATGGAATCTGGCTCTATTGCCCAGGCTGGAGTGCAATGGCACAGTCTCAGTTCACTGCAACCTCCATTTCCCTGGGTTCAAGTGATTCTCGTCTCAGCCTTCCAAGTACCTGGGATTACAGGCACCCGCCACCATGCCCGGCTAATTTTTGTATCTTTATTAGAGACAATGTTGGTCATGTTGGTCAGGCTGGTCTCAAACTTCTGAACTCAAGTGATCTGCCCGCCTCGGCCTCCCAAAGTGCTAGCATTACAGGTATGAGCCACTGCGCCCAGCCAAGGAATGTTATGTCTTTCATAGAATGCTTAGCAATTGGGTTCAAGATGCTCTCAAACCTGACCTGCTTTTTCATGCTTATTGAAGGGATGCAGGGTGAGATACAGGAGAATTTGGCCTAATGCCCATCAAATTTCATGGACTGTATCAGACATTTGTTGGAGGCAAAATTTTCTAGCAAACACATCAGAAGAAAGTAAGGCCTTTTTGGGGGGAAACATGGTGAAATATGATGAAATACTGAAGTGCCCAGCCTGCGGGCTGGCCTGTTTCGGTGTTTTTCTTTTCAGAGTAAGATCTTTCATATGACAGTGAGTAACCTGACCTCCTTGTGTGTAGGTTTTATTTTCCTTCCAATAGCGGACGGGATCTGGCAGTGCACTGCCTGGTATTTGATCTGGCTTAAGAGAACTTTAGGAGGAATAAAACATGCTTAAATAAAAGCATGTGGTTTTCTCAACTCTCATTTAGAAAAGTTTTCCTAATTCTCAGTAATGATTGACCTCAGATCCCCAGCCTCTGGAGATGAAATGTGTTTGGCACTGTTGCTTAAGCGTCATGGCAGACAATGCTTGATGCTCTCCAAACCCATTCTCTTCTTGGTCCTCAGTAATGAGGCCATTCTGGATAAAGACCACATTTCCTGAGTTGTAGCTGGATGTGCTCATGTCGTAAGCTAGGACTGAGGGGATATATGCAATTTCTGGGACATGGCCTTCAAGGCAGAAGGTGTAATCTCCCATCTTTTCTCCTTCCTGTTGGTTCATGTGAGAAGGGAACTGCTCGAGCTGCCACCTGGGACCCGTAGTGGAAGCTTCTCTCTGAGGATGGCGATGAGCCAACATCAAATGGAACCTCCTGGGTCCTCTGATGACTGTGGGGCCACCATACCAGTCCCTTCATTTATGTGTAAGAGCAACATATTTCTACCTAGTTTAAGCTACAATTATTTTGAGTTTTCTGGGACTGTGCCTACCCCAGTCTTGACTAATCAGGGGTTCAATACATATCAGAGCTCTTAGAGAAAAAAAAAAAACCCATTTAGCTGTTAGAATGATGTGGATAATAACAGCTGGAAAGAGCACGGGAACATATTAGGAACAATCAGGGGCTGATTTCATGTTGAAAACTGTGCCCCAGGGATCCCCGTCTGACGGGATTGCTTTAGGGTGATGAGACTTCCTTGTGGGACCACAACCACTGAGTTACTTGGAAGAAACCCGAGGAAGAGCCTCTCACTCTCCTCATAGAGCTTCCGCTGCAGCTTGAGGCCACATGCGGCAAGTCTCTTGCAAAATAGTCTCTTGGATGGAAATGGAGTCTCGGCTTATAGAGAGGCTGAGATTTATACTTTTTTTTTTTTTTTTTTTTTTTTTTGAGATGGAGTCTCGCTCTGTCGCCAGGCTGGAGTGCAGTGGAGTGCAGTGGAGTGCAGTGGAACCAGTTGAATCCCGGGTTCAAGCAATTCACTGCCTCAGCCTTCCAAGTAGCTGGGGTTACAGGCACCTGTCACCACACCTGGCTCATTTTTGTATTTTTAGTAGAGATGGGGTTTCACCATCTTGGCAAGACTGGTCTTGAACTCCTGACTTTGTGATCCACCCACCTCGGCCTCTCAAAGTGCTGGGATTATAGGCGTGAGCCACCGTGCCCGGCCAATTTATACTACTTTTTGTTATAAAAAATCATTATTTTAAAAGCAGATGCTCAAAAGACTAGGGGAGATATTGGATTCAGATTTACACATTAAACATAATTTATGTATCTTTCAGTCATCTGTAATCTATAAAGTGGTAGTAACTTTTACGTTTATGGAAGATTTTGGATTGCATTTACTTTTATGGAGATTTTCATTGTCTTGGAAAACACTTTACAAGAATGAAATTGCACTGACTTAACCAAACAATGGTTGACAGGGGTTGATAAAAATGTTATTACAATGATTTCATGCATGCTACACTATGTCTATTAAAACATTACTAAAAGTTTATTTTCTCTTTGCTTTCAGTACTAGGTTATTTCTTTTCTTTACAATGAGCATCAGCATTCTTGAAATGGAAGAAATAAAAAGGCTTCAGACTCAGACTGGCACAGTAACTGGGTCGGATGCGAAATTAAACTATAATGGCCTAAAATTTCGAGTTGATTCATTTGTACTTAAATTTACGAGCACAAATAACTTCAGTGAATATATTCTTTCAATGACTACAAAACAGATTTATAAGGTTTAAAAAAACTCAGTGGGAGATTCAAAAATCAAGATTTGCTCCTAAATAGGAGATAAAATAGAGAAAAACCACTTGGATTTGCAGGAGTTAGAAGTATTTCGTGTGGTTATTAAAATATTCTTTTAAAACATAGTTATTGTGAATACCTCCATTCTCTCATGTCATTCTGCAAACAACTGAAACCTAAAGAATATAGGACAAGAATTTGGATCTTGCAGAAGAGTAAACCTTTTTAAATTCTAGCTTTGTCCTGATGCTACAATGGTGCGTCCTCCATCTTTCTAAATTAGATAACTCAGATTCTAAGGCTATTTTCCCTCTTACTGATTAAGCTTAAAAATCGAAGAACAAGTTAAAAAAAAGACAAGAAATAAATACCTTGGTCTTAAAAATAAAACCACGGAAAGAAGAGGAAAGAAGAGAAATTCTTAGCCTTAGGCATCATATAAAGTGGCATTATTTAAAACATTTCCTAATTATTTTCTGCCAGCTAAGAAAAAAACCTCAAAGAACAAAAAGCAATTAAAGTGTTTCATTTTTTACAAAGTTCCTTTCACGCCTAACAGGAGCACGTAGACAGACTATGTCAGCGAATGGGTTTGGTGACAGTGATTTTGCGATTGCATAAATGGCACTTCCTAATACAGAACCTTAGCTGGATCAGAGTCCTAAATTTTTACTTTCAATTCAAAAGATTGAATGTGAGGGTGAGTTATTATTTGACGTCTGTCACCTTTTTTCCAAAGGAACATGTTTTAGGATCATTCCGAACACATTTCAGTGATGGACAAATTTCATGCTGTGGTTGTCATTAAATCTCTTTCCAAGGCCAGTCATTAATTTTGTTAAAATAATTTTTTTAAATGGTGTCTTTAGGTAAAATACCAGCGGAACTGTCAGCCTGCAAGTCTCAGAGATGGATGCTTTGTGCAGTGCTGCGAAAGGGCGATCCTTCCCACCTCCTCATGAATTTACGTCACTTTTGTGGAGGAACAAGGTTCAAGACAGTCAATGACAAAGATCATCCTGTCTCCAGGCTCTGCCGAACCTGCCGATGGGTGGGAAATGAAGGGAGACAGTGAGTCCACTGAGAGGTGATGGAGAATGACAGGCACTGAACTGAGATGCCTTTGAATGTGATGGTTCTGATGCTGATGGTTAACTAAAACAAATCTAATCATTACTTTTTATGTGGATATAAATTTTACTTTGTTTTTCTCCTCAATCTGGCTATAGCTGCTATGCAAATATATCTTTTAAATGTTTGGATAGAGGCCATGCCAATGATGTTAAACGTTAGCAATCAGTATTCATATAACTTCGTAGGTCTTGTGAGAGGGCGCAAATCTGAGTGCATACATCTTACTAATTAAGCTCATTGAAGACATGCAATAAACCACACTCAAGATGCAGTTACCTTTAATTTTGGTGGGTTGATCTCCTGTTGATAAGAATATTTAGGGAGGAGAGGAGGTGAGCAGGGCTGAGAAAGTGTAGAGTCCAGGTCAGAAACAGAGGCGAAGAGAGCATGAAATGGAGGGGAGGAAAGCAGCTGGCTGGGAAAGGGGGTGGTTGCTCGCTCTCCCGAAGAAAATGACGGCGGCTTCAATATCGAGGAAAGATAAGAGGCGATTATGCTTGTCTCAGAACGAGGTTACATGGTCTTTACAGAACATCCTCTCAACTTCGATCATTTTAAAGTTACCAATAACCTTGGGAAGTTATATTTATGACAGTTTTTTTGCTTTGAAACCACTAACTTCCTCTTTTGAATTTGATCCAAAATCCCCAGTGGGTATGATCAGTGTAATTTTTCGGATGTGGGTAGCTGGAGAGAGAAACACCTACATTCTATCATTTTATCATACGTTTATATGATGGCTCCTTCTAAAAGTGAAGGAAAAAAGTATTTAAAACCCTGCAACGATGGTAACTTGTGTGTAAAGTAGGTTGTCAACTATCAATAGTCAGTTTGTCACAAAGCTGGGGAAGCGGTGGCCCCGCATGCAGGGTGTGAGCTGGGGCTGGGACGAGCCGGCCTAGGGGACTGTCTGCAGCAAAGAGCACCGCCCGTCAGCAAAGCCATGCATCTAATCACACCTTCAAATGGACTGAATTGGAAGGAAGATTTGTTACTGAAATAATCGATGTGGAGACACGTTTGACTCATTGCAATGAATTATCTATCTGTTATTAAATAAGGTGTTTGTTTTACACAAAGGCAGGCATGGCCAGGTTATTTTGAAATAGAGGAACCATGAAAGAATTTGACTGGGATAGTGGCATCATAGGAACCATCCTCTCTATTATTTCATAATTTCCATAATTGCCAGTCATTATACTTGCTTCTTAATTCACAGGGTACATTTGAGGGATCAAGTTTCTTTCTTTTTATTTTTGAAATGGAGTTTTGCTCTTGTTGCCCAGGACAGAGTGCAACGGCACAATTTCAGTTCACAGCAACCTCCGCCTCCCGGTTTGAAGCAGTTCTCCTGCCTCAGCCTCCCGAGGAGCTGGGATTATAGACACCCAACACCATGCCTGGCTAATTTTTGTATTTTCAGTAGAGATGGGGTTTCACCATGTTGGTCAGGCTGGTCTCCAACTCCTGACCTCAGATGATCCACCAGCTTTGGCCTCCCAAAGTGCTGGGATTACAGGTGTGAGCCACCGCACCCAGCCTCAAGTTTCTTTTTTTGAGATGGAGTCTCACTCTGTCATCCAGGCTGGAGTGCACTGGCATGATCTCAGCTCACTACAACCTCCTCCTCCCGGGTTCAAGCGATTCTCCTGCCTCAGCCTCCCGAGTAGCTGGGATTATAGGCACGTGCCACCATGCCTGGCTAGTTTTTGTATTTTTGGTAGTAACGGGGTTTCACCATGTTGTCCAGGCTGATCTCAAACTCCTGACCTCAGGTGATCCGCCCACCTTGGCCTCTCAAAGTGCTGGCATTACAGGCTCGTTTTTTGTTTTAAGAGAGAGGTTTGCAAGCTAAAGTTTCTGGATATTTTCTGCTTTTGTTGATTAAAACCATTGTTCAAGTTTCTTTGTAACATGTACCCAATTTTTAAGTAGTCAACGTAAAGTCAACACGAAGAGAACGACCTCTCTAGAAAATTGAAAGGGGACAGAAATGCTGTCTTTCTTTTCTGTTGTCTTTGTTTACTATTATCATTATTATTTTTGCAAAGCGCCGTTATGTCAAAGGTATGGTGTACGGTTTCTCATCCTGGAATAGGACAAATTTCTGGGCATCAGTTTCCTCTTCTCTAAAGCGGGGATGAAAACATCACATGCCTCACTGGGTTTGATGATTAAAGATGGAGAGTTTTTACAACAGTGTCTGATACTCAGTGAGAGTTCCACTAGTAGCTATCATTAATATTGGAAGATTACAAAGACTATACCAATTACAAAGACTTTTAAAATACAAGTTTATGGTCCTAAAGAAGTAATGGGATAATGGAATTATACCACATATTTACATCATTTAATTAAATGTGGTGTGTTTTCAAACACCCACTCCACCCCCAGCTTATACAGTGTTTGTGTTTTTGGTTAAAAAACCTGTTAGGCAGTGTCAAAATAGATATTTATTAATATGATTAACTGTAACAGCTGATCACAGTAAGGCCGGTTAGTTCTTCAGGAATTAGGGAAAATTAAAATACCTCATTACTGGGTTTTGCTGCATTGCTGTCCTCGTTGGGGATCCTAGGATCTGTGGGGGTGGCTAGAGGGTGTTTTAAGCCGTCGGTTTTCTCCTCCTCCTCCTCCTCTTCAATGTGCAGGCATGGGGTCCCCTCTGACCCATCGTGGCCACACCACCAGGCGTCTCCTTCCTGAGGTTCTGGCAGCCCTCTCTGGATGCCTGACACAATCCCCTCATAGATGCCCTCATCTTCCTCTCCAATGACGGGAAGGGGTACAGGCAAGGAACCCACGCTGGTGCACGCAGAGGCCACAAACTTATCCCCTAGGACTTCTGGCGCCTTTTTAGGGTCTGAGAAGCCCCTTCTCATTTTTCTCAACTCTGCAAACTTGCTCTGAGTTGTTGTTCTGGGATCCTGAAGAGGGTCTGCATGGTTAGGCTGGGCTGCAGCTGAGGCCACACCCGCGTGAGTGGAAGGTGATTCGGCAGGTGCAGTCGCTGGGGGCAATGGGAGGAGGACAGCAGATTCCTCCTTAATTTCCAGAATGGCGTCCTCTAGGATGGTTGGTTTGGCTTGGTCAGCAGACAAGGTTAAAGCACCAAGCTTCTCCAATTCACCCAAGAAGTTGTCCAGGAAAGGAGGTGGTGTTGGGGCCAAAGGGTTTGCTGGTGGACATGAGGCTGTCAGGGACAACCAGCCCTGGCCAGTTCTCTGAAGAGCTCCTTTATCTGAGCCAGGTGAGGCTTTGTGGGTGGGAGGAGGGGCTGGTTCACTGGAAGCCAGCTTGGAAATGAGCACGGATTATGAAGTTAAGAAAAAATAAACGAAGAAAATAATAATAATGCATCAAAACATAGAGATGGAGAAATGCAGAAAAGATGTGGTGGTGAATATGAAAATAATTTTATGTTTAACATAGATTTGAAGACATTTAGAAGATATCTAGATTTGAAGATATTTTGCTGAAATTTAAATACATAAAATCATTTATGTTAATTAGAAAAGTTACTTCACAAATGAAACTCTACTAGTTTTGGAAGGGGTCTTAAATGTCAAACAAGATAAAGATGATATAGAGATTACCAGGACAGTAAAACCTTAGAGATTTATTTTTATTTTTATTTTATTTTTAAAATTTAAAAAAAAAATTTTTTGAGATGGAGTCTCACTGTGGCACCCAGGCTGGAATGCAGTGGCATGATTTTGGCTCACTGCAACCTCCACCTCCTGGGTTCAAGCGATTTTCCTGCCTTATCCTCCCGAGTAGCTGGGACTACAGGCGCACGTCACCATGCCCGGCTGATTGTTTGTATTTCTAGTAGAGATGGTGTTTCATCATGTTGACAAGGCTGGTCTCGAACTCCTGACCTCATGATCCACCCGCCTCGGCCTCCCAAAGTGCTGGGGTTACAGGCGTGAGCTACCGCGCCTGGCCCTTAAGAGATTTAATAGTTTATTTACTTTAAACTATGTTGAAAAGATATTACAGGTTTCCAGATATTGATTTAGTAGTATAAATGACTCCAAAGAAATGTTAATGTAGAATGAAAACTAATAGTTCAGTCTTTTTATTTCCTGAATGTGTGTAGTGTTCTCTTTTCCTACAGTATAACTCAATCTTTTAAACTTTGACAATTTTCTCACTTATGTTTGCAAGGTGATATGTTAACAAATTTCTAAGTGAGTAAGTTCTGAAAAGTATGTTTCAAAGACAGGAACCCATGATCAGAATGAAACTGAGCTTACATAGCTACAGCTTCAAAGTTTGAAAAAATCCAAAGTAAATGTTTACATAGAAAAAGCCCATCTGATGCTGATGGGAGAGAGAACTTCTGGTTAAGCTCCCGTTCTCTTTCAAAGCTTGACATTTGTGTAAATTGGAGGAGGTACGATTTATGAAGCTTAATCTCCTGAAGTAAAAATACACTTCTATATATGTAGTATTACTGATGTATTTTGGATATGGTAAATGAAACAATAAATTTGAAATTTTATGCAAAGTGATTAAAAGTAGTTCTAATAAATATATACACCCCATATGTACTCATCAAAATTAGAAATTAAAAAATGTAGTTCTAGAAGTGCCATTGACTAACATCAGAATACATTTGTCTGCCCTTGCTGGACTACGGAAAACGCTACCTGCTGTGCCTGCTGTGCCTGCTGTGCCTGCTGCACCTGCTATGTGCATAAAGGCCTTGAGAAGGCTTTCACTTTAGGTCTCTCCAGGTAGATGCCTTTGATTTGGAAAGAAAAAAATCTCCAAAAAGATTCTGGAGATGCATTTGCCAGCTGATAGTTTAGGATAACACTTTACACAGGGAGCCAGCCCTTTTGCTCCTGGGGCCTTAGTGTGCGTGAGTGAGTGATGCATTTCCCACTGAACTTTCGACTCCTGTGTCCTATAATAAGAACGGGGTATTAGTTAGATTTATTTAGCTTTTTTTTTTTTTAAGTCATCTTATCATGGGATGACATAAAGGTCACAAAACTCATGTGAGCATCTTAAAACAGGATTCAGGACCCAGGCTCTGAGCTGCTGACTCACAGACTACACGTGTGGTTTGTGCCTGGGTAGACAGCCACTCCTCTTAAGTCCTGTAGATGTTGAGTTTTCAATGAGATATAAACAACTCAAGTCTTATTCAACAGTCTACAGAAGTTCCTTTACTGGCTAGAGTTCTAGTTTGTACCCTTTGTTACATAACAAAAAAGTTTTCAGTAGTTAGATTTGTAAAGTCTGTGAAATATATAATAATTTCAGATCGTCAAGTTTCCACTTTCACTTTCTATGATGCCAGGAATTATATGTGGATGAGAAAGAAGGATCTTAAATTCCCTTGTCGTTACTGCCACCATCACCACAGCTATCTGATGCTGCGAATACTCTAGTGTCATCACCACCACAGTCACCAAAATACATGTTAGCAGGTTAAACTGCTTAGCTTTACAACAGACTCGCTCATACCAAAAGCCAAATTAAGCATCCTGATATAACTATATCACAAAACTGTACCTATAATACAAAAACTACACAATTATTTTGTTTTCCAAAAGCATTAGAATTGGATTCTAATGCATTAAAAGCAGAAATATCAGAAAGAAAATCAACTTACATTTTAGTCTCCCTTAAGACAAAGACAGTACGTCAAGAAATGTGATTTAAATGTGTCACCAGAGTGGTTCATAAATTATTAATGAGTTCTCTGTTTGTAAATATCAGTTAGAAAATAGGTTCTGTAGCATTTAGTATATTTTGGATGTCATCATTTAGAAATACATTATATTTATCTTTCTAAAAATGATTGTCACTGGTGGGAAGTTTTCTTCATTAAGCCTGTGACATCACAGCATGGATTACCAGTTGAGATAAAACCATTAAGTATTTCTTTCAAATTGTGGACGTAAGCGTCTCAACGTATTTTTTCCCCAGCAGTGAGCCATAAAAAACTAGTTATTAGTGAAATTTGTACATGCCTTATGTTTAAAATTTGGTATTATTTTAAAAACTTGAAAATACATTCAACTACAGTTAAATTGTATTCACATCAAAGATGAAAACATTGGGATCAAAAATATTATATTGCCATTGCTAATTAGGACATATGGAAGAATTTGTTAGATGTTTAACGAGCTTATGTAGATACATGATTTTCTTCCTTACAACATTTTATTTGAAGGTACAGTTGCTTTGAAATTTCTGTGATAGTTCTTTAAAGATGACTGCCCGGTGGATAACGACAAATATATGCATGAAGATTCTCATCTTTTCTCGTTATCAGTAGAAAATACTGAAGAAAGTATGCTGATCTATAAATGCTAAGCTCTGGTAATGAAGTGAATATACCTAAGAAGATTCTGGAAAACTTTATAATCAAGCAAACAAAATTGGATAGTACCAAACTGTTCCATATATCCATGAATACAGGGTTGAGGGTAATTATTTGCTACTGAAACTCAGTTTTCAAAGATGATCACAATAAATACAATGCCCAGACTTAGCCCTTCTAAAGGAAAATGACTCTCTTGAGATAGCAGATTCTTAGATCATTTCCTCACATAAAATCCTTCTCAGGCTCATTTTCAAGGAGTAGTTTAGGTCACTGGGATGCAATCTTGAAATGGTCTTTTCACTGGAGCATGAAGTGACTTCACACTTTACTAACGTCTGAGAAGCTGATTTTATTTTACCAGCTCTAGATAGTTTGGTTTTTCACATCCCAGCCTTGATCTCAATTAAAATAATTAATAAATTATGCAACTTAATACATTTTTGAATGTTGGGAAGTACTTAAAACATTTCGGAAGTAATTGGCAATTTAAAGTTTTATTCTTAGAGGTTAACGAGAAAAAAAATCCTAAATATCATACATAAAAAGAATATAATTCAGCAGAAAAATAGGATAAAATTTCACATTGTGAGTGAAATAGCCTTTTTACATTCACCAATTAAGGAAGCGAAGTCTCTTTTAAATTGCATATTGAGAAAGATAATCATCTTTAGCCCGCTCAAGTGAAACAGTAGACCTGGCATGTAACTGTCCTAAAACTGATAAAACAAACCTGAGGACTTACAGTAACCTACAACATTTTCATTTAAACTAATAAACAAATTGACTTATAGATTCTAATTAAAAATTTTTGCTCTAGTTCACTTTCCATATAAAAAGCTTGTATAGATTTGTCAACCTAATAACCAGGTGTTCTCGTGATATGCCATTTTGAGATATACATAGTATTTTGTGTTGTATATATTTATATTTCAAATTATAAATCATAATTGTATATACATGTATGTATATAATTGTATTTATACATAAAGATCATATTATATACATACAATTTCCATATCTAAAAATGAAACTTTAGAAAAAAATTATTTCAGAAAACATTTATGTACACAGGAATACGGATATATATCATAGAAGACTTTATGATATTACTGTTTTCTCTTTCTCTTTTGATATTTTAACTTGAAAATGAAATGAGCAAAATTAATCATTAAATCTTTATGCCAGTACCCATTTGAGAAAAACTGAATTATATTTACAGACGCGGCACTCACACATGTAGAGACGTAGTATGTAAATCTCTTCCTCTGCAATAGATATGATATTCTAATCTAATATCCTAAAATCACATACCGATTATCTCACTCGGAGCTCCCAATATTACATGAACATGATAGAGTATGTTCTTACCTTATTTGAGCTCAAGCTGTGAATCCTATCACTAGAATAGCTGTGGGGCATTGGAGGGTCGGGGTAATCCTCAGCACCTTTTGTGTTCTTCTTGACGACCTCCACATAGGAAACAGGGAAGATGCCTTGTCTGTTGGTTCCTGGGATTTTACCTTCATACCAGTTTTGATCAACTCTTTTAAGAAGAATAACTCTATCTCCCTGTGATGAATACGAGAAAAATGCATTAGAAACAGAGATAGAATAACATGAAAATATAATTGTCAATGTTTTCTATGAAACAATAGGTTTCCATTTGGGAAGGTACTGGTGCTTACTAGAAAAATACACATTCTCAACATATATGTAATTAAATTGTCCATTCAGGACATTAGAATCTTCCCTAAGGATGCCTGGTTAATGTGAATGGGTTTATACTTGTTCATGCTGGTATTGTGTGAAATTATTTGTCTAAGTTATTTCAAAAAGCAGAAGAGTGTAAAAGGCAATGTCTCAATGACAATAGGGTTATTTTATCTCTGGCAGATTCAGTGCATTGGCCTCCTGTAGGAAGAGCTTCAGAAAGTGCACCACAGCTCGCTGTGAGACGGTGTGTGTCCGAAGTGGTTACAGGAAACACCTCGAGAAGGGAGAATATCGGATGGCACATCATTTTCTTTTTTTATTTCTTTTTTGTTTTTTTTTTTGAGAGGGAGTCTCACTCTGTCACCCAGGCTGGAGTGCAGTGGCGTGATCATGGCTCACTGCAACCTCCACCTCCTGGGTTCAAGCAATTCTCTTGCCTCAGCCTACCGAGTAGCTGGGATTACAGGCGCCTGCCACCATGCCTGGCTTATTTTTTTGTATTTTAGTAGAGAAGGGGTTTCACCATGTTGGTCAGGCTGATCTCGAACTCCTGACCTCAAATGATCCGACCACCTTGGCCTCCCAAAGGTCTGGGATTGCAGGTATGAGCCACCACACCCGGCCCATTTTCTTCTTTAATCTACGTGCGCTAAGTAGTGACAAAGTGAACTAAAGGGATGGCGAAAAGACAGCACCCTAGGATATCAATAGCTGTGACAAGACTGGCATTCCCCTGGTCTTCACCCTGACAATGTAAACCCAGCATTCATCTGAGTAGCTGGTGACCATTCCATACTTGTCATTAAATATTTGAATAGAACCCTTGGCTTTCACAACAATAGAAGTTTCTACAATCACTATTCCTTCCACCTGCAGTGACCCAGTCAGTGCCACAGAACTCAGTTTAAACTTTAATTCAAAACTACATGCAGCCTAGAAATAGGCAGGCAAGTTGATGCTGCCAGGCAAAAACTGCAGCTGCATTCAGCAGGTGATACAGAAGCTTGGCAGCGGCACCTGAAGGTGTGATGGAGCTGAAACAGTCATTAATCTCAGCCCAATAGGGCACCCTTCTTCAGGTGCTACCCAAGAAGAACTTCGACCTTGAGTAGCACTTGGGGAAAGTTCTCTTTGTGTCAAAACACTGGATGGTTGATTTTGTGTGCTTCACCACCACTGAGCAGCACATACTCAAGAAAAGTCGGTCTCAGGCCGGGTGCGGTGACTCATGCCTGTAATCCCAGCACTTTGGGAGGCCAAGGTGGGTGGATCATGAGGTCAGGAGTTCAAGACCAGCCTGGCCAACGTGGTGAAACCCCGTCTCTACTAAAAATACAAAAATTAGCCAGGTGTGGTGGTGGGTACCTGTAGTCCCAGCTACTCCGGAGGCTGAGGTGGGAGAATCGCTTAAACCTGGGAGGCGGAAGTTGCAGTGAGCTGAGAATACACATTGCACTCCAGCCTGGGTGACAGAGTGAGACTCCATCTCAAAAAAAGAAAAAAAAAAAAAAAAAAAAAGAAAGAAAGAAAAACGAAAAGTCAGTCTCCCCAAAATCTGAAAATTGCACTGATTTTCTAGTACACCAAGAACAGGCAGTTGCTAGGCTCCTGTGTGAGCTGTAAGAGGCACTGGTGAAGCCTTTCCGTAGAGCATGGAATAGGAGATAGAGTTCATGTAATGCTGGGTGGCGCAGCCCAGAGGGTAGGAAAGAAGGAATCGGCTGATGATGCAGAATTAGGACTGATAGGAGAGAATGAGACAAGGTTCTGCCAGGACCAGAACAAACCAGGACTGTGGTATTGCCCTTCATCGCACCTGGCTAAGGATTTCACTAGTAGGCGTGGGAAGTCCTAGAGCCACTCTAAATATTACTATCTTGCCTGTGTTGTGTGCAGAGGCAGTTACCTCAAACAAATATATGTCATGTTTAGAAAGCAATAAAAATAGTTGATTTATCATTCTCAGTTATGTAAAGTAACAAGAAGAGTTTTTTTTGTTTTGTTTTTTTGTTTTTTCTTTTTTTGAGACTGAATCTTGCTCTGTTGCCCAGGCTGGAGTACAGTGGCACTACCTCAGCTCACTGCAACCTCCGCCTCCCGGGTCCAAGCAATTCTCTGCCTCAGCCTCCCAAGTAGCTGGGACTACAGGTGTGCACCACCACACCCAGCTAATTTTTGTAGTTTTAGTAGGGATGGGGTTTCACCATGTTGGCCAGGCTGGTCTTGAACTCCTGACCTCATGATCCACTTGTCTTGGCCTCCCAAAGTGCTGGGATTACAGGAGTGAGCCACCACGCCTGGCCTCGAGTCTTTTGATATTATTAAGAAGAGATGCTAGGATTGGATGGGCTGCTAGAGAAATTTGGGTCAATTATGAGACCCAAAGAAGGATGATCCAGGGAAGAGCACTGCACAGGCGGTTCTTAAAGCAGCTCCCCAAGAGGAAGGATTTTCTTCACCTAGGACCATTCCTAGATTCCAAGATAGAGGAAGATAAGGATTGGATTATCTTGTTTCTAAAAGATTGAAAAATAAGGCAGCAAAACAACAATATTTTGAAGTGTATCAAACTGCTTTTTCCTTTTGTGCCCCCGAATGTATACGTCCTTGATTTTTCAGCCCCTTGCCCAGTTTCCCGGACTGAGTCACAGAGGGAGAAGCCTGGTATCCCACAGGGAACTCCTCTGAAAGGACACAGGGACCAGCAGGGAACCGTGACTCTGGGCTGCCTTAGGGAGTCCTTTGTAGAAAATAGGGCTGACATTAAAATGTCTAAAGAAAAAGATAACCTATTTTCGTTTTGAAAATACACAGCCTTTTCAAACACACTGACGAAACAACAACAACAACAACAACAACAACAACAACAAAAAGCAGCTGGGCTACCTTTCTCAGTGACAGCTCCACGTTTGTGTCTGCGCTGAAGTTGTATTTGGCTATAGCTTCTCCGATTTCTCCGGGCTGGGCTGGCGGAGGTGGTCTCGCGGGCTGTGCTTTCTCGGGAGGTGTGAGTTTCTGTGAAGGAAATGGTCATCTATTTTCAAATCTGTGGTGACCCTGGAAACCACCACCATCCAAGAGAGAAAGGCAGAGGGCTTACCTCTACGTATGAGATCGGGAAGATGCCCACTCTGCCGTGGTGTTCTCCCTCATACCAATTTTGATCGATTTTCCTGAGGATGTAGACGGTATCTCCTTTCTTAAATGACAGCTCCCTGGAAGAAACACGTTGACATGGTCTTCTCCTGATGTACAGCGATAATTCTGAAGATCAGCACCCTCGCTAGATCGGCGTTTGTTTGGCAAATACACTTACAATATTAAAAAATCCGATTTGAGATTGAGTTGAGTCCGATTAGATAAGAATGATCCTTGCAAATTCTTAGAAGGCACTTAAAACATCATAACTTTAGAAATGATTTCAAAAAGAGTAACATTCCATTGGGTATAAATCATGGACAGATTAATATGAAGTTTAAAGGAGGGGACAGACTCTTGCTACTTTATCATTAGTTCAGAAAAGAGGCATTTTGAAGCTTGGAAAATGATGGAATAGTTCTGCACTGATTTTTTTTTTTTTTGTCTTGAAGCTAGTTGGCTAGTTAGTTACCAGCCCCCCAGCCCCTTTTGATGTACTGAAGCTTACATGAAGGCAAACAAATCTCATGTAGCCTCACAATAGAAGTGCCAACACCAGAACAAACTTTATTTGTGGATCTTTGAAGTTGGTTGACAGATATTTTAATAGACTATCTTGATAAGGAATTTATTTTGTGTAACAGAAAAGATATTACACTTTTAATTTTCAATGGGGCACAAAGAATGTTTTAAGGGCAAAGACATGCCAATGTTTGTCTTCTTTCTATCTTTTATTTATAAAAAATAAAAATATTTTTAAGACACTAACTGTATTTTTCCATTTTGGCTGTTTCTAAGAAAATTGTAGGTATATTTGATTTGGGCATTTATAATTTTAAGTTATAATGACATTATTCATTTTGAATAATTCACACCTAAATTTATCACCTTCACTACACTGATTTTTCCTGGCTTAATCACCAGGTGATTAGGTTGGTTCATTATGTTGCCTCCACAAGTATTCTTGGATGGAGGGCGATTAATTTGTATCTTCTCCCGAGAGCCTCACTTTGCAATACATCTGCCTTCCCACTCTGGAATCTTCTGCATTGTTTTGTTCAGAATTTTCATTTCTTTAATCTTTTAAAAAAAATTTTGGTTCAGAATTTTCAGTTGGATCATTTATCAGTAGATGCCATATGATGGAGAGAGATTGATGCCTGATGGAGAACACTTCTCACTGATTAAAATAATTGATGGAAAAAATGGTGGCATATTAAAGGAATGATCACACATTTAGAAGTGCTAAAATCTTCACAACTGAAAATGTGTTAAATTTTCAGTAACCCTAAAAACAAAAAAGATTCACAGAGCTCTACATTCAAATACAGCGCTTCCTTCTTTTGTGCAAATGCCTAATATAAAAAACAGAAAGCAAAGCAAGATATTTAATGTTCACAACACAATAGTTTTATTTGTATCAGGTATGTTTTGTTTCCAGAAATGAGACTAGCTTTTTAAAATGTATATGTACCTATGAATTAGAGGCAACCAAGTTTTTAAAGCTATGAAAAGGATTCTTTTGTATTTGTACGGGGTTGCATTTAAAATTTTGAAGTCCTTAAGACACAGGAAAGTCTCACTCTTAAGTTTTCAAAACTGTGTCCCTCTCATCTCAGACCTAGAATTTTAAAGCCCTATTTGCTTTTTTCCCCCTCACTTTTATTTTTATTTATTTATTTTTGAGACCAAGTCTTGCTCTGTCACCCAGGCTGGAGCACAGTGGTTTGATCTCGGCTCACTGTAAGCTCTACCTCCTGGGTTCAAGCGATTCTCCCGCTTCAGCCTCCCAAACTATGCTTGGAATGTTTTGATAAATACATGTTATCAAATTCCTCCAGCTAGTGTTAATTACTCCCCAATACTTTATTTATTTACTTATTCATTCTTTTTTTGAGACAGGGTCCTGCTCTGTTGCCTAGGCTAGAGTGCAGTGGCGCAACCTCAGCTTACCGCAAAGTCTACCTCCTTTCGTCTCAGCCTCCGGAGTAGCTGGGACTATACAGGTGCACGCCCCAATGCCTGGCTAATTTTTGTATTTTTTGTAGAGACGTGGTTTTGACATGTTGCCAGGCTGTTTTGAACTCCTGGGCTCAAGTTATCTGCCTGCCTTGGCCTCCCAAAGTGCTGGGATTACAGGCATGAGCTACTGTGCCTGGTCCCCAATACTTTATTAATTCATTATTGATACAAAAATTCTAAAAACAAATATTCGTAATTTCTTTTTGTTTTTCCTATCCTTAGAACTCATTGTGTTCCACCTAACATATTTAATGTAATTTAAAACTCAGTATTTCTCAACTAAACTTAAAATAAAAATAAAATGACCCTATCCCAAGTAATTCTGAAGGAACCATTTAATTAGAGTAGATTGCTACATTGGGAATTAGACCTCATTTGTAACACATCCCGTTGCAATGCTTATCTCTTAAAGCATTACTAACATTTAAAACGACCTTAAATCATATGATGAATATTTATCTTACTTACTTAGATGTCTGAGCCTTAAAATCATAAACAGCTTTTGCAGGCAATTTCTGAAAAGGAAGATAGACAATTAGCACTAATTTAAAATTTGAATTTTCTACAAGAAAGTAGTTTCATGTGCCTTAAAGAAAAAGGAAACCTCAGGGAATGATCAAACGTATGTAATGTCAATCCTGTATTTAATTTATAAATAAGTCCATTTATTCTTCATTTGTATATGTAAGCTATAACAGGAATATAATAGAAGGCTTATTCACCATCATATTTTATCTTAGGAAGTAAGGGAGATTAATGTTATAATGAGAGAATAAAATGCCTGCTGAGGATTGCATCCTAGGCATCATTTTGGCTGTTACAAAGGCTTTTCCCAGGATAAATGTGGAGGGTCAATGGCTCTATGTTCTATGGAGATTGACACAGCTTTTTCCGAATCATAATAAAAGGACCAGATGTCATAAAAGAAGTCATCATTCCCTTTATTAGACACTTATTAACATATTAGCAAAAATATTAGCTCAATTATCACTAGGAGGCTAGTTACTGGGCAAAAGTACAGGTGTGATCATCTTGCATTCCCTAGAGGGTTCAGGAACCTTCAACACTCTGTCCACCAGCCACTTGTCTTTTAGTGGTGACGTGATGTAACATGTGCCCATTCTCAAACTTTGGGGCCCACAAATCTCCCTGAGGCACCCCGTACCCTATAGCTAGCTAGGGCAGCTCTTCCTTCCCCACCAACCAACAATCCCTTCACTCCATTCCTTTTCCCCATGACTCTGGTGAACTTTAGGAATCCTGGACCATTTCTAACTTCTTTGGGGATCCCACAGGCTCTAGACTACATCAGATGCCTGTAAGATCCTCTGGAGCAGATGCCAGTCCTAGTCCAGCTTTTCGTTTCCATCCAGCCCTCACGGCTCCAAGGCAGTTTGAGCAAGAGCTCTAGCCCCGGCTCAGGGCCCTGGACAGAGTTCAGTTGGTGGGTAGCTCCCAGGGGCAGTGTCCCGAGAACTGGGCTGGTTAAAAGCTTTTTTTAGGGATCCTCTCCAATAAAAGTAAGCCAGCAAAAATTATTTATGTAGGCTCTGTATTGACTTACAACACAGTTGACATCGGGCTTTCTCCTAGACCAGCGGGCCAAGAAATTATACAGAGGAAACCCATTCCCGCCACAAGGTGCCCTAACTCAGGACACTTTGAGGTCACAACGGTTAAGTTCATGGGCATCAGATCAAGACTTGGAGAGGCCTCATGGCCAAAACCGGACCACCACTAGGGAAGACCCAGAGCTAGGGTCAGGGCGCGGACTGCTTCGAGGGTCAGAGTTGCTATGCTCGGACTCCAAGGAAAATTGTTTCTAGTTTCTCAGTATTTTCATGTTTTCTGTCGAGTTCTTTACTGGTTTGGGATAATTTTTGGCTGACAAGTGCCCTATCAAGTGGGTTGCTGTAAAAGACTCCAATGCTATTAAATTAACTACCTCTTTTTCTGGAGTTCCTCTTCTTTCCCTTGGTGTACTTCTCCCTGTGTCAGTCAAAGTGGATGAGTAACTTCTAGGGGACTCACGGCCTATTGGAAAGAACAGGGCCAGTCGCAGTGAGTACCCACTTAATTAGAAGCCAACTTGTTCCGTTTTCCCTGGTGGCAACTATTTTTTCCCCAAATTTGGAGAGACACCATTGTCGAACACATGGGTATAAAACTCATAGGTCATTACAAAATTGTGAAATAAGACACAAAACAAGAGCATTTCAAAAGGAAAAATATCTGAGGTTGCAGAAGTATTATAATTGTCTATATAAATATAATAGCTACACTGCTGATTAATTATATTGCCACGCTCACTACAGACAATTTATAATTAGAGGGATTTTTCATATAAAAATTTTTCAAAACTTTGTTTCTATGCCTTTGCCTCTAATTTATAATTACTATTATAAGACTTATAGAGGATGGAGAATTTGAAAACAGCAACAAATTGTAGAGAAAGAAACATTTTGTGGAATAATTTAAGACAGTAGTAATGAAAAAAAAGAGATAAAACCAAAGAAAACATGAGGATGACAAGAGTGTGGATGAACATTCTCCTTTCACCTTACTCTCCCCTCTTCTCTCTTACTCTGTTTTTAAATACTTATTGAATCTTAAGATGCCATACTGTTTATCTACGGCCTTCTTTTGTGCCCAGATGATAAACACCTTATCAGAAAGCAAAGAAACAGAGATATTGTTTCTTCTTACTGCAAGCAAAAAAGGGATAAACAGAAAGCATCATGTCAGTTGCCAAATTGCTTATGAAATATTGAAATCATTTTGTTTATCTTAAAGCAAAGCACAAATAATCACATTACAAAATTATGATTGCATGTAGTTCTTAGTAGTATCTTATACCTTTTGCATTTACGTGACTTACATATGGAGATGTAAGTAGACATTAAACCTATTCCAGCAGTCTATGTCATAGAATTTTATCAGTATAACTGGGTCAATATTTGTCAATTCTTTCTTTTATCCCTTTAATAAATCTAGTTATCCAGACTGACAAGCAGCATTAAAAATAAAATTTATTGTATCCATCTATGAAGGAATTTAAAGTGCTGATTCATAATAAGAAAACATTGTTTTAGGGTTTTGACTACTTTGATGATATAAATTCTAAGTTAATATACTTTTATGATCAGAGGGCCTGATAATGATCACAAATTTTAAATTCCTTTTTCTACCCCATGGAATATAAGCTATTTTTCACTTGGGTGAAACACAATTGGAAAGTAAATATTTTATTAAAAAACAAAATACTTTTAAATGCATTTCAAAGCCCTTTCAAGTCATGTTTCAAAAATGTGCTCTTATCTGCACATAAAATTGAGAGGTGATTATATTAGGATATTAAAAACCTGGAGAAGGTAGCTAATTTATTAAAAAATTGGATCCTGACACATTTCAATTAGTGAAAATTTTCGATTGTAGAAATTGATTTTTAAAACTCTAATTGATGATTTTGAAGCATGTTGCTTCAGTCTAAGGGTAAGCAAAGATAAATATAAGTATATAGTACAGCATCAGTGAAAGCAAAGAAGATAAATACTAAGTAGATTTGTGCAAGTTGATTAACGATCGAGCCATATTTGACACTAATACGAACTGTGAATTGTGTCTTTCTTTGTCTGAGATTATATTTTATACTATAAATTCTGAATAATTAGGAGTTTGAATCCCTTTTCTGTTACCTACTCTCTGTGTGACCTCAGACAAATTTCTTATCCTCTCCAGGCCCAACTTCGAGAATTGAAAATGGCTCTTAAAACAACACCCGTTTCCTAGGCCTAGGCCAGTTTTGATTAGATAATATATATAAAGCACTCTGTAGTGTCTGGTGCATAGGAGTTTCTCTGTTGACCAACTTTCAGCCCAGAATGTTCATTCCAGCCTCTTAAAATTTACGTAGTGAACAGATGCGCTCTAAGAATTAACAAAAAGAATTGGTCACAAATATTAAAACACTCTGGGCTATAAGTTATATAAATCTCAAAAATAGTCCTCTGCCTTTCAACTGCTGTTTATTCTTGTGTTGCCACTTCAAAGTTATCTATGAAAACAGAGTTTAGAATCACTTTTAGCCTGAATAACGTAATTCAAATTTCAATACAGGACTGTTTTAGCAGAAAGAGAAAGTGAATGAATTAAGTAATGGAAAAGAGAAAATGAATACACTAAATGGTGGAAATGGGACTTTTATATATACAGCTTAAAGATACATTCACAAAAATTTTATCACAATTGTGTCCTTGAAATAGAGAAAGCTATTAAGCAAGTCCTAATTTCTTTGTGTCCATCAATTACTGATCACATCTTTCAGTTTTGCTTCTTGAATGTTTTGATATAGTATCTTCTATATAGAATGTGAGCAAATTATTTATGAACAGAATGAATATAAAGTTTTAAAGTTAATATACACATTTTTAAAAGGCTATTTGTGGAACTATAGGTTTTGATTCATGTCACAACGTAATTTATCGTCTCAGTGTGAGTAATGGTTGCTTCAACCCTAATCCTGAGCTACACAATGGCCTTCCCTCTCGTTTTTGAAAGAGTAAATTTTTGTGAATTGATGATCACTTTAAGCCACACATCAAGTCCAAATATCACATGGGCAAATGAGCAATATTCAGTAACACATATTTGCACAACAAGTTTTTGCTTCACAACACATAACGACGCCAAATGGTCTCCCAGCTCGGGAGTGATGAGATGTTGGAATGGACAATGAAAGAGCTGGAGGGTGGGTCTCTGAACCACAAGGAAAAAGAAAGAAAAGCTCATCCACCTTGGAGTGCACCGCCACGGTCTTGGTGGTGGTAGTTGTTGGCTGTGTCCACGTCTTGGAAAGAGGCACTGTGAGGCATTCTCCCGCAATCATTCTGGTAGGGTGGACAATGAATAGCACCATCTTGAGGCAGTGGGTGGAGAGGCTGGTGCAGGGGGCTCCTCCTCAGTGCCCTCAGGGACGAGTTCCTCTCGGGAACATCTGGCAGCAGCTCACTGATGAGACGGTGCAAGATGCTGTTGTCTGGCAAGCTCCCCCTTTTCTTTTCAGCTTTAATTTGGTCACAGATGTCTTTAAGGGCAGAGTCCAGAGCCTCAAACACAGATGCTTTACAGGTTGCCTTTTCAGTCTGTTTCTTGGGGGCTGAATTTCTTTTCCTGCGGAAAGGCACAGGGCTGACTAGAAAAGCCAGTTTAGAAAGGCCAGGGTCCATTTCTTGCCTTCTGGGCTCCTCGGGGTTTTCGTGTCTGGCTCTTTCGTGTTTCAACATCGTGGTAAATCGAGTGTAGGAGGCCGGGCATCTGCCTTTGCAGGAGCTGATGAGGTGGCGGTGGTGGTGGTGGTGATGATGGTGGTGGTGGTGGCTGGATCCATAAAAGCTCTCAGAGGATGTGAAGGAAAAGTGATCAAAGTCACTTTCACTGCAGAAGGATGACCCCTCTACGTGAATGTAGTCACTGTGGTCAGACACAACCCCATCCTGGTCACTGTCGGAAAACTCCACGTGAGCTCTGGGCTGCTCATCGCTGGTGACTTCAATGTGAATGGGCACCAGGGCGTTAGACGTGCAGCCTCGTTGGCCCTGAGACGGGTGTCCACTTTGATTTTCTTCCTCCAGCAAATACTCAATGGAGAATCGCCTCTTGGGACATAGGCCATTTTGTGGTGGTTCTAGGGTGACGGGAGATAGCATGTCATCCCCTAAATTGGGCATGGATTTGGACTTCTGAATCAGCTTTTCGAATTCGGAAATGCGCGTGGGCACCATGTCCCGGGGCACCTCCTCCGTGGAGGACTGGCTCCAGGCCTGCAGCAGGCCCTTGTGCTGCTGCTCGCTCTCGTACTGCAGTATCCTGGACTTCACGGAGCAGATCACCTCGGAATTCATCAGGTCCTTGCGGTTAATGCGGTGCATCTTCTTGTACATCTTTAGGAACCCCGGGGCGTTGTGGGCTGACCGGTGTCTGATCCTCGACCTGCCAGCGCTGCGAACCTCCTGGATGTAGGGCGACCCCCAGGCTCTGCGGCAGCTGTCTTTGGAGTCCTCGTCACACAACAGGGAGCCCATACTTTCTGACTTGATTTTCGGGTCCGGGAAGCTATCGCAGTCATCATTTAGGAGATCGTCACAGCTCCGGGATTTCATTTTGGGAGAAACGGTTTCTTCTGTGCTGCTCCAGATTTCTGCGTTTTGCCGGGCCATTTGCCAGCCGTTCTTGAAACTGATGGCCCTTGGGGAGTCCCGAGGGACGTCTAAGTGCTGTCTATAAGTGCTACAGTAATCTAACTCACTGGAGGGGTTGCCGTTGAGCCCTGAGTAACTGCAAAGGGATGGACACATTTTGCTATCATCCCCACCTTTTAATCCAGAGCAGCGTGGTAGAAGAGAGACATTTGGAGAAGTTAAAAGGTTCACAAAGAGAGGAGAGCATGTCAGTAAGCATCAGACAGCACAGCAAGGGGAAAGCAGTTAGTGTGTTTTAGTCTAGAGGCTGATTGTTAACGCATGGAGCATCAGCTCTAGAGAAAAAGGTCTAATTCTAAAGCGAGCTAATACTTTTTCAATGAATGTAGCTTTGCAGAGAGAGTTGGCAAAACTATGCCTAAGAAGTAACTGATGGAAGCAAATACGCCTACTTCTATTGCATAATTCATACACCTTTCTGACAATACTGTTTGCCAAAACACAATAGTGCCTCTTCAGCTGATAGCATGATCTGGTAGTAAAGGTTTAACAGTTAGTGCCAAAAGTGTTATACACTTAATCAATTTCATAGGGCCGGAATTTGAGTCTCATTTGATTCGTAATGATACATAGGTAGAGGGGGGTTTACACATTTACATCTAATTAATACTCTCATGACTATATAAAATAATTTTTTATGGGTTTTGGATTTTAAAAGCTATAAGGCAAAGTATTCTCCAAAATTGCAAAATCAAAATGCTGTGAACTATTGCTGCTAACGTTTTTCCAAGAAAAAAATAGCTAAAGCTCTTTAAACTAACGAATTTACCTCTTAAATTGCTCTACCTTTAACCTCTTATTAGGTACATAGTTCTCATAGGAAAACTGAATATAATGCAAAGCTTTCATCAGAGGCGCATATATCATGCTTTTTTTCTGGGAAGAGTTTAAAAAAAAAATTTGCAATTTGATAATAGAGATGTACACTTGGATTCAATTTTGAATAGCTATGGAAATGTTCTTTTGTTTTGCTGAGTTAACTAATAAATGAGAAGCCAAATTATATCTAACAGGACATTTTCTTCTTAGAAATAAAATCTAACGGAGGAAAATGTCTCTATTCAATACGCATACCTTACAATGTTCTCTAAATTCTTTAAAAGTAGGTGAGCACATTAGGTAGATATGTACTGCCTGGGAAAGGAAGTTGATTTAACACTCCCTGTGATAAAACAAATATCTACATTTATCAGAATCCTTTTGACTTTTGGGTAGTATACAATAATAATGAGTCAATGGCATTGCATGGCTTACTTGTTACCTTAAGATATTCATTGGAATAAGTGAGTTGGATCTGAGAAGGCACCTCTGCTCCTCAGAGGAAAGGAGGATGGATGGTGCTTGTATGCCCTGAACCATCAGCTGATATCACAGCTTTACGAGGCCTTAAAAGGGCGAGGCCTCCACCTACTCAGAGTCCAATCATCACAACCAGAATATCTTTTGCACACAAATCAGCTATCACTTTTAACTATCATGTGGCAATGGTTTTAGTGAGTATAGTTGATAGGTGTAGCTGAATTGGTCTAGTTTTATAGAAACTTATGTTAGAGCTCAATTTCTTCACACATTTCAAAATCTCTTTCTCTTCTGTTTCGATCCTGAGATATTAGAAGAGATTGTGTGGTCCCATATTTGGTAGAGCCCTAGCTCCCTGTGGGTGCTGGTTCAATCCTTACTCTCCATCTCAGAAATATTCCTGTCCTCAAGGAAGACCACTAAATGGTCTTCCAGAAACCAGAGGGAGTGACTTACTCCTTTCAACAGTGAGCTCCCTACACCTGCAGTGAGGAGACAGGCCGCCCAGAAAAAAAGGCTTGGTGATTCCTGAATGACGTAATTATGGTCCGGGACCCATCAGTCCTGACTGTGAACTGCTGTGAATGGACCACTATGTGACCTGGCAGGATGTGGATGCTCCACTGTTCATATGAAGGTGGCCCAAAATATACAGCAAATGGCTAAAGAAATTAATAGGTCGGATTTTGTTTTTAAATCTAGAATTGAATAACTTTTTAAAACCTCCAAACCAATGTATATTTTAGGTAACAATTTCCTCTGTTGCTGCTTGTAATTTCTATCCTATAAATTTGACTGATTTGCTAGTTGCAGAAACATTAGAAAATTTTGACTATACCTCAATGTTTACAAATGACATCTTTTAGTAGCCTGATGATACATATTTGATACTTTGAATTTGTTTAGAAAGGGATCTATTTGGGGGGAAAAAAGCGTTAGCAGATGCTAGTCAGAGTTCTTGAAGCAACCTAAGTGGCTCGCCAGCTTGAGTCAGTCTGGGTGGGAAGAAAGCTATTGTTCTAAAAGTGTATTTTATTCCAGACACTGTAGGTGGGAGCCGGCTCGTGCCACTATCACTGGGCCAGCTTTCACACAGTGCTCTAGGCTAAAATGTAAACTAGTAAATTGTTGTGTTTTCATTTACTATTGCTCACCTTTTGCTCTCGATGGGGAAGAAGGAGAAGAGCTAGTGAAAGACTTTGTAAGGGTGGCGCTTGATCCTGGGAGGTCCGCTCGGCCTGGGCTAGTCCTGCTCACACTTTGATCTCCCAAGCCCCGTGGTGGACCCACTGCAGGCTCGCTCTTCCTCCGCTTCCTGAAGTCACTGGCCATGCTTGCAGAACTGAAAGAAGGAATCAGATCTGTTTGACTGGCACTGGAGGAGGTTAAGGTGTGCACCAGAAAAACCAGTGGAACATGCTAGTGACTCCTAAACTTCTATCCCCAAAACTGCATGGCTAGGAACCCATCCCTCGATGTTCAACATGATTTCTCTAGAAGGATCCTTTTAAAAATGAAAAGACTTTATTATTTATTTATTTTGAGATGACTTCTGGCTCCGTCACCCAGGCTGGAAGTGCAGTGGTGCAATCACAGCTCATTGCAACCCCAAACTCCTGGGCTCAAGGGATACTCCTGCCTCAACCTCCTGAGTAGCTGGGACCACAGGCGTGCGCCACCACATCTGGCTAATTATTTAAATTTTTATTTACATAGAGACAGAGTCTCACTATGTTGCCCAGGCTGGGTTGAGACAGAGTCTCAAACCCCTGAGCTCAAGTGATCCTCCATCCTCAGTCCCCTGAAGTGTTGGGATTACAGGCATGAACCACTGGGCCCGGCCGACTTAATTTTTTTAGAGCAGTTTTAGGCTTGCAGAAATGATGACTGGAAAGTGTAGAAAGTTTCTTTGTAGTCCCTTTCCTCTTGCACAGTTTCCCTGATCATTTACGTATTCTTTTAGTGGGGTACATTGTTACAATTGATGGATCTACCTCGATGCATCTTCACCCCAAGTCCATAGCTTACATTTGAGTTCATGTTTTATCTTAAACATTTTATGGGTTTTGAGAAATGTATAATGATGTGTGTCTATCACTAATGTGTCAATCATATAAAATAGTTTTACTGCCATAAAAAGTTTCTGTTCTCCAGCTTTTCATCCCTCCCTTCCTCCCGCTCATCCTGGCACCCATTGATCTTTCCACGGCCTCCACAGTTTTGCCTTTTCACCATGCCCAGTTGATATCATGCAGGATGTGGCCTCTCGGATTGGCTTCCTTCACTCAGTAATATACTTTTAAGGTTTCTCCATGTGCTTTTTGTCACTTGATAGCTCATTTCTTTGCATTGCTGAGCCACATTCTATTCCACAGATGTGCTAGAGTTTATTTATCCATTCACCTATTGAAGAACATCTTGGTTGCTTCCAAGTTCTAGCAATTATAAATAACGCTCCTGAGAAAGCCACCTGCTGGTTTCTGTGTGAACGTAAGTTTTTAAACATCTTTGAGGTCAAAATTCTCCTATAGTGAAATATGTTGTGATTGAGAATTCAGTGCTGTAATTTGTATCTTATATCTTTTCTCTATAAAGCAGAGTTCCAATAACATGAATATACCCAGAGTAGCATACCAAATACAGGAAAGAACTGAAAAAAAAAAAAAAAAAAAAAGGCATCAAGAGAGGCAAATTTCTCTCACCTCAAGGGTTGCCTGCAGCTTGTCCTATCATCTTAGCTCTAGAAGACGTTGTATTGGAATTCCAACATTTTCTATTTAAATAATGAATGAAGGCTGAGCATTATGGTTCATGTCTATAATCAAGTACTTTGGGAGGTCAAGGCTGGAGGATGGCTCAAGGTCAGGAGTTTGAGACCAGCCTGGACAACTAGTGAGACCCTGTCTCTACAGAAAAGAAAAGTTAGCCAGTTGTGCCATGTGCCTGTAGTTCCAGCTATTCAGGAGGCTAAGATGGGAGGATAGCTTGACCCCAGGAGTTTGAGGCTGCAGTGAGCCATGATTGCACCACTGCACTCCAGCTTGGGCAACAGAGCAAGACCCTGTCTCATCCGTCAATCAATCAACGAGTATCAGTTACCTGGTCAGCAAATTAACTATTAAAGATTCCTTCCTCTCATTTGCATAAAATACTGTCAATAGTCTAGACTAGCAGGGAGTTTGTGTCACGGTTTTGAGTTTGAGTACAGTACATTTAAGACAAACGTTAATGAATGAAGCCACACATGGCACAGCATACTGTGCGTGAAATCCCTGGATTCTTAGACAAGAATTGTGTAGACAACAGTGGTCACAGCAACAGCAGCAATCCCAGCTCCCAGGGAGCCCAGCAGAATGCTATGTGCTTTATTTACGTTTTTGTCTTATTTAGCCCACACAGCAAACCTATGAGATATGTGCTGTTATCTCAGTGTTACAAATGGTAAAGCCAATACATGTGCCTGGGATGTACGGAAGCCGAGAGGCAGACCTCAGAACTGGTTCCTCCTCTTCTGAAGAGGATGCTGCATCTCCTAGACCTGTTTTTGCTGTGATTGTCCTGTCATGTGAGGGTCTGTGTGTCTTTATGGCAATCTTTAGATTAGATTAAAACTCTAAAATTCAAATGTTTTAGGTGCATAGATAGAGGCACAAGATAAAAAGGAGGGTTCGAGAGTTCCTTTCTCAGGGATGTTATTGTAGTTGGTTGGCACTCAGAAACCCAATTTACGATTGACCCAATTCACAAAGAAATCTACATAGAAGGGTAAATTAATGCTACTACATAAATATTTGTTATTGATGTTACAATAGGGCTGGGAGTTTGTATTATTCAATATTACCATTGAACTATGTCTGAGTATGTCTGAATTTTGTGATTTTTTTTTTTTTTTTTTGAGACTGAGTCTTTCTGTGTCCCGAGGCTGGAGTGCAGTGGTGAGATCTCAACTCACTGAAACCTCTGCCTCCCCAGCTCAAGCGATTCTTCTGCCTCAGCCTCCCGAGTAGCTGGGACTATAGGCGCCCGCCACCATGTCCAGCTAATTTTTGTAGTTTTAGTACTGATGGAGTTTCACCCTGTTGGCCAAGATGGTCTCGATTTCTTGACCTCGTGATCTGCCCGCCTTGGCCTCCCAAGTGCTGGGATTACAGGCATGAGCCATCGTGCCTGGCCATGAATTTTGTAATATTTTAAAGAAAGTGTGATATTTAAAGCTAAGAGAACTTACCTCAGGCAAACTCTGAGGGAAGTTAGGCCTAGTGGTGACAACTTATCTTGCCTCAATTTCTTTTTTTTTCTCTCTCCTTGCCAACTGTGTAAACTCGGTAAGTTACTGAGCCTAGGTGTCACCTTCCTCAGAGATAAAGTGGGGACACTAGTATTTAACCATAGTGTTGTCTTAGGATTGAATATGTTTTGTTCTTATGCCTCATTTATTGGTAGTATTAATAAAAGCATTTCTGATTTGTGTGGTCAGAGTATAATCAACAAATATGCGTAAAACAATTTTTAATCTATAATTTTTTTCAAACATATTATTATAAGGGCCACTTAACAACATTGAAAATTAGTTACTTACAATTCCCATCTAAAGAAAAGAAAACTGGGTATAGGGGAGTAAGGGAAGAGAAGGATATCTCGGTCTATAAAGGAATTTATAATTAGTTCATTAATTTTTTGGAAATTCTTGAAATGATCATATAAAATGATGCTGAAACAAAATAAAACAACTTCATGAGGCATGGTACTTCAAATAAAAATGAGTGATACATAATACTCATTACTACTTCACTGAATAATTTTATTGTTGAAAAGGAAACCACCGGTATAGAATATTCTGCTACAACATAATGAGATTCTTACCTCATGGGTCTTTCCAGGCTTCTGTCTATAGACGACTGATACAAGGAGGCCTGTTAAGATAGAATAACAGTCCCATGAAAAATTTTACCGTGGCAGAATTTTGTTCACTTTTCAACATTAAATTAGGTATCCTAAAAAGAATATTATAAAAATTGAGGTTGAAAGTACCATTCATTATGACTGTAAAAATGTCTTCCCAAAGGGACATCATGCAACCTGATTTCTACTTTGGACCTATCTGCTTTCTTTTCTGATATAATGCACTGCAGTTCTCTGTGTAGCTCAAATTATCCGCAACCCAAGCATTGCATGGGGAAATTAATAATATTTTCTCAGGAACACTGAAATAAGAGCTAAAGTTATTCTACAACCTCAACTTCAGAATCTTACCTGTTGACTGTAAATAGAAATTTCCTATAGAAAGGAATGGTTTGATGTTTAAAAAAATTTGCAGCCATCATTCAATCCTTATTTTAAAGTCTTTGTTATTGTTGTTATGAAGTATTGTCTTCAAAATGTAACACATAAACAGAACTGAAGACAGCATTCATCTGTCAACATAGACACGACATTTAAATAAAACCCACGGAGTTTGACTTGAAGAAACTAAAGTACCTGGTACTTCAATCAGGTAAACATTCACACTTTTACAATTCAGCGAGTTCAGGGTTAGTTTAAAATAAATGAGCTAAAGAATCAAAATATGACTTTTTAAAAGTGCACTTTAAAATTTTTCCTTCATTCTGAATAATACACTGAAATAGATAGTAAGCAAAACTGATAATATTAATTTTTTATTTTCCGTGGCATCTACTGGGATAATTGCTAAAATATCTAAAAGGCAAGAGAGGACACTGAGCTATCAAGTGTTTGAGGTGACACTGTGGTATGATGTCCAGAAAGTATAGGGAGATGGCTGGGCGTGGTGGCTCATGCCTGTAATCCCAGCACTTTGGGAGGCCAACGCGGGTGGATCTGTGGTCAGGAGTTCAAGACCAGCCTGACCAACATGGTGAAACCCTGTCTCTACTAAATACAAAAAGTGAGCCAGCTGTGGTGACACATTCCTGTAATCCCAGCTACTCAGGAGGCAGCGGCAAGAGAATTGCTTGAATCCGGGAGGCGGAGGTTACAGTGAGTCGAGATCGCGCCACTGCACTCCAGCCTGGGCAATGACAGTGAAACCCCGTCTCAAAGAAAACAAAAACAAAAGCAAAAAACAAAACAAAACAAAAGTATAAAGAAAGTATAGGGAGATGTATGCCAAGTATAGATAGTTTTGGCTTTGGTCATGTTTGATGATCAATTCATCACAGATAAAATTTGGTTTGCTGAAGAACTGGAATTCCAGTTTAAAAACATTTGTCTATGAAAGCTTAAAAATGTCAGCCAGAAAGGCAAGATTTGACAAATGTTGTCTTAAGTTGCTATCATCTAGAAACATTTTATCAAGTACTAAAAATCTACTTAGTGGAAATCAAATCTCACTTTACAAACTATTTCTATAACTCAGTTTTCTATTAATTGGTAAATTAGCACCAATTAATCAATTAAAACATTAGTGTATAGTTTTGCAATTCTGTATGAATATCAGTCTTACAAGGTCCCTTTTGCATAACTTATGCTTCTATTAACTAATATTTTAATTTAATTCTATCTTACTAAATGAAAATGGAATCTTGCCTAGAAACAAAAGCATCTCTGCATGAGAATATTCCCATCCTCCTTTCAGACAGAAAAAGTGGATTCTAATATTTTTAGTTCCTAGAAAATATTTAGATTCCTAGGTTCTCAACAAATATAAAATTAGGAGAAAAGTTTGGTTTGCCAGTCTGATATGTTTACATGGTTATTTTAATTTGCTGAGCTCTGAATCAGACACTGGGAAGGTAGAAAAATAGATACTAAATATGAAAGAAAGCAAACAAGTAAAAAAATAAAATCAGATAGTTGTATTACCATTAGGAAATATTAGTTCTACTTGTTTGTACAAGAGCAACACCAACTAGCCTGAGAGCATTGGCGTCTGTGCAGAGCATGGTTTTCAAGGGACACACTTACACACAGCTAATGAGCAAGAAGTGTCAAGTTCAGAACACTCTGAGAACACCCTGACCCTGATCAGAAAACTTGAACTGTCAACTTATAATGAGCCTAAACAACATTGTAATGTGAAATAAAACGTAGTATAAGAACTCATTGTGTTTCAGAGTTAGGCTAAGAAACTACCATTTCTCCTTGTACTAGTTTTTACATTCAAAATAAACTAAAACCAGTTTTGTGGTTTCATGTACACTCAGAGAAAGTTCAGTATTAAGTTATAAGACAACGGTAAAAAATCTAGATTGATGACTGAGAGAAAAACTTGTACAATAATTGTAAGAAGGGTACTCATCCCAAAACGAAAATTGTCTCCAGAAAAGAGGTTACAAATTTTACCAATTATGATCTACTGAGTATTTACATATTACCATTATTTTAACACACTTAGAAGGTCAATTTAGAGAAGTATAGATACTGAATCACTCTTTCTGTTAAGTAACTATTAGATTAAATTTTGCTTAAATATCTGTAACTGTTCTTCATTAATGCCAGTTTTCCAGTTATGGATTAAAAACTATGTTATTCATGGTAATATACCAGGCAGTTGATAAATGGTAGCTAAGGTAATGTCTAATCAATTACATTTTTTAACCAGCAATGTTTAATAACAAAAGGTTATTAAAAATCCAGAACCTTAAGAGAATATATTTTCTTACATTCTGAAAAACTATAATATGAAATTAATAACATAGTTAACATATGCTATTAGAATCATGCAACACTCCCTCTCAATCCCAGAGATAACTGGCAAATAGGTCAACTACTGGAAAAGTGCTTTTTGTGTGTTTTTTTTTTGCCACTACCATCACATGATAGAATGCAGAGAATTAAGTTTCTACTATTTCTATGCCCAAGAATTATTGTGTAATATTAATTATCAGAACTCTTTTCAAAGAAATTCAATAGTTAACAAGAAATAATATTAAGTAAGTAATTTGTTTTTAAAAGATTTATCCTCTAAATATATATCTTGGAAGTACTGAAAAGTGTGATATACAGGAAATAGCACTGAAATGAAGGTTAAGAGATATATATATGTTTTTCCGCCACTATCTTACCATGTGATTTTGGACTTACTTCTTAAAATTATTGCACTCTAATTTTTTTTTAACTGAAAAATGAGTGAGTTGGACATGATGCACTCTAAATTCCATTTCAGTTATCTATGAACCTACCTTTAAAACACCCTAGAAATATCTGAGAAAAATATCCGACCACATTGAATTTCAAAATAAATTCTTGGGTTGCTCATATATTGAAATGAGACTCTTTCTGCAGATATTAAGGTAACATAACATACAGAATATAACCCCTTGTTTTATTTGATTTTCTTCAGATTACATGCCTGCCTGCCTGGCTATAAAATGTAAGCCTTTAGAAATGGCTGAATTAAATAACCCAGAATGTTCCTGATTACTCTATTTTACTTTTTATTTAATATATAAATATTTTGATCACTTCTCAGTTTTAACACACACTCTGATGTTCACCACAGCGTAAATAATTTGAAATTGCAAATTGAGACTCTAGAAATTTGCATATTTCCTTGAGACTCTATACCTGCAATTCCAGTGGTCACCACTATGTGTCAGTAGTACCTCCTACAACATAAATGTTCTACTAGTTTTGTTTTCCAGTTGCACATATTTAAGACTTTTAATGAAAATAAGGTATTTATTGTGTTATAGTATTCACTTAAGACCACAGAGCAACTACTGTGCAAAAACCAGTTTATTTACTTTGTTCCCATGCTAGTTGCTTCTAAGAGTTCCTTGCAAGGAGGCTTTTATATAGCTGATGGCTACCAAAACAGTGCCATTTCTGCTTATGTCTTCTAATGAGTCATTTGTCTACTTCCTAAAGTAATTTTCTGCTTTTCTTCGCAGACAGCAGGGTAACAAGCTTTTGACTCTGGATCATTTCTGCCTATTTCATGCTCTTTTTCAAATAAAACTCTGATTCAAATAAAAATGTACATTGGCTGCCATACATTTTTCACCTAGTTGAAATAGGCTCTTAAGTAGAGATTGCAAGTGCATTTCATTTTATATGCCAGTGATAATTTCTTATAGTGGCTTCCTGGATCACAGTGTTGAGAAGGAGTAATAATGTCTGTCATGGGTATGAAACTGGGAAGTTGTGATACACAATTTCCAGGTATTTGCCAGCCCTATTCTTGTCTGATAATACAATCTATAAGTTGTATTTAGGAAAATGAAAGAATAACAATAAATTTTAGAAATATGTGGGACATAGGCATCTGATTATCCACACTCCAAGCATTATAATAGAATGGTTCTAAGAAGCCTTCTAGTAGTAGTTTACTCTGTCTAATAAAAACAGGTGCTTAATATATGCACTAAGACTAATACTTTTGATTTTTTATTTTCACACTGCTGAATACCAGAACTACATAGGATAGTATAAGTAGCAGTTGTGGTTGGAATGATTCTTCACCCAGAGTCCAGGTATAGCCAACAACTCTGGTATAATTAATGTCCAGGCAATGATACTGGATGTAACATAATGATGCAAAGATAGATTGTTTTTTTCAAAAATAGCTTAGACATTACAGAGAATTGTAAAACACAGATGTGCAGAATCACAGTCACAGCCTCTAAAGGAGATATCTGAAAAAGAGAGAATAATGTGTTTTTACCTCATTGAAAACACCAGAAGAATGATCTTGAACATAGTCCAGAGGCTTTTTAGGAGGCTGGGTGTAGATGCACCATAGAAGCAGAAGTGTAGGGATGGAATGGAGGAGAGTCAATGGCAGCAAGGAATGAACATGTGGAAAAGGTGACAACAGTTAGAAATTGAGTGTTGACAGCACCAGCTACACAAACAGAATGACATGAATGGAGCAAAATAGGGGCAGCTGGGAGGAAGTGTGCAACGTTTGCAAATATTCTCAAGCACTGGGAAAATTCGCTAGTGTTCAATTAGTATATTTATAAACTCATTTTGTCAAATTTAATTAGCACTCCTAGTCTCTGGCCACAGAGGAATGCAAGGTATATTAAAGAAACATTAAAGGAGCAAGTGGATAGCATGCTGGTGAGTTTCCATGTGTGGCTGAAAATGATTATGGAAAATGCTGATAATTTAGGCTCAGCACAGAATAGTCCCTATAAGCTTTCTTTTTTAAATTTTTTATTTTATTTTATTTTTTTGAGACAGGGTTTCACTCTGTCACCCAGGCTGAAGTGTAGTGGCACCGTCTCAGCTCACTGTAACCTCTGCCACCTGGGTTCAAGTGATTCTCCCACCTCAGCCTCCTGAGTAGCTGGGACTACAGGCATGCGCCACCACGCCCGGCTAATTTTTGTATTTTTAGTAGAGAAGGGGTTTCACCATGTTGGCCAGGCTGGTCTCAAACTCCTGACCTCAAGTGATCCTCCTGCCTCAGCCTCCCAAAGTGCTGGGATTACAGGTGTGAGCCACCACGCCTGGCCGTCCATATAAACTTTCTAACCAACAGCAACAATACATATAAAATAAAGCTACAGAATGTTTTTCCTTGAAATAAAATACATTTACGTTCACACTAAGATACAAATGAGAAAAAGTGAGAGAAAACATTCCTCCTACGAGATAATAATGTAGGAAAAGTTCATTGGTTTATATTCATTTACAGTCACTTTTGATTCAGTTCAATAAGCTACCTTGAGTCTAACCAAGTCTCCTTTGCAGTTTAATGGACAGAAGAGACCACCATCACCAATCAGTAAGCCATATATGGTCAATATACAAGTATATAAATCAGCATATGATATAGAAATGGTTATATCTTGTTTTCTAAAAAACCATCAGTGTAACTGGTATGTTATTTAAGAGTCTAAAATGCATAAAAACATGTGTAACTGACACACATCAAATGCACTGCTGTTGGTGGATACAGTTCCTAATCAGGGAAGTTGTTAGTTGAACCTTGAGTTGACTCTTTTTTCTTTTTTTTTTTGAGATGGAGTCTTGCTCTATCACCCAGGCTAGAGTGTAGTGGCGAGATCTTGGCTCACTGCAAGCTCTGCCTCCCGGGTTCACACCATTCTCCTGCCTCAGCCTCCCGAGTAGCTGGGACTACAGGCGCCTGCCACCACGCCTGGCTAATTTTTTGTATTTTTAGTAGAGACAGGGTTTCACCGTGTTAGCCAGGATGGTCTCAATCTCCTGACCTCGTGATCTGCCCGCCTTGGCCTCCCAAAGTGTTGGGATTACAGGCGTGAGCCACCACGCCTGGCCGACTCTTTTTTTATTTGAGACGGAGTTTCACTCTGTCACCCAGGCTGGAGTGCAGTGGTGCAATGTCAGCTCACTGCAACCTCTGCCTTGGTTCAAGTGATTCTCCTGCCTCAGTCTCCCAAGTAGCTGGGACTACAGGCACCCGCCACCACAGCCAACTAATTTTTGTATTTTTAGTAGAGACAGGGGTTTCACCATGTTAGCCAGGATGGTCTCGATCTCCTGACTTCATGATCTGCCCGCCTTGGCCTCCCAAGGTGCTGGGATTATAGGCGTGAGCCACCGCACCTGGCCTCGTGTTGACTTCTTACCCCCAAAAGACTAAGCAATAAGGCCCAGCCTCGGGGCTTCCTCTGGTGGGAGTCTGGGGATTAGAGAAGTTGTGATGCCTTTCACTGGCAAGCCTGGAAATCAAGATCCACAGGGCTTCCTGAGTTTTTTCTTTCCTTATATCCCTAGTGGGAAACTAGGTACAGTCATGTGTTGCATAACGACGTTTCCGTCAACGATGCACCCTGTAGATGACGGAGGTCCCATGGGATTGTAAGACTGTATTTTTACCTTTTCTATGTTTAGATTTTCTTAGGTACACAAATACCTACCACTGCATTACAGTTGCCCACAGTATGGAGTGCAGTAACCTGCTGTACAGGTTTGTAGCCCAGGAGCAATGGGCCACACCACACAGCCTAGGAGTGTAGCAGGCTCCAGCATCTGGGTTTGTGTAAGTACTCTACGATGTTCGCACAATGGCAAGTTCACCTGATGACACATTTCTCAGAACCGGTCCGCATCCTTAAGCAACACGTGACTGTATTTTATAGTGGGATTACTCTGGCAGTATATTATACTGAAAACTGCCCAGAGAGTTTCATTTTTCTTTAACAGCCTCTGCGTTTAACTTTTTACTCTGCCATTTGCTATTTGGGGCACATTACTTAACCCCTCCAGTCCGCATTTTCTTCTTATTGGCGGGACATCAGGAGGCCTCGAGGAGATAGTGAAGACAGAACTCCGCGCTCTCCAGGTGCCTGACGTTTGCTCAGCAAACAGGCCTCTCAACGTCAAGGTGCCCTTCTGCTTGAACTAGACCAAAGAGACTGCAAACAAATACAAATCTTCTATAAAGTTGTAATAATTGCCTGAATATTTCAGCACAGAAACTACCTCCACATTTTGAACTTGCAATGAATTAGATATAAAGACCTAATGAATGACTACAAACCATATAGGAAATGTCTGAACACATTTAAGCATTTGGTACAGAAACGAACCTAGACTACGCTGTACCAAATTTGTGTATACGTTATGCATTCGGCCTTCGTTCTCTGAATGACACCCACGTCTCCTGATAATGGTATTTTAGAAATCAAACAGCATACGCCTAGTTTTCTTATATTAATAGTCTAGCCTCACTTACCGGGCGTCCAAACTCCAGTTCTGAAAAGAATTTATACCAGGGCTCATTTTCTAAATCTATGTCATCTGGATTTATGCGATCAGTCTAGAGCAGATGTGAAGGAAAAGGGAAGGAAAAGGCACACTGAGCAAAGTGAGGGAAACGCTGTGTGGCACGAAAAAACACGCGCGCATTCACACGCAAACATGCATCACCTCTCACCCCACGAACCTCAGCAGGAGAGAACGGAGGAAGTAAAGTAAAACAAGTAACATGAGGATGTGAAGGCGAGCTCCATGGCAGTGGGCCCCTAGTTCTTTCCTCTGTCCATCGTTTCTAATTGGCACAAGTGGTGGACAACTCTTGCTCGAGTTGATCCACTTATGCCTGAGGCATGAGCTATGGACCACTCTCTACGCAGCGAGCCTGGGTCTGGCTGGCACGCCTGATGTTTGGAATAGGCTCAACCCAGTCACCAAGGAGCTCTTTTGGGCGAGTCACTTCGTCGCCCCTGCCCTCGTTGGTGGCCAGCAGTCCCAGCATGGGAGCCTGCAGTCTGCAGACAATTCACTGGGGGCAGGCAGGTGGAAAGCCTGGGATGGGGAAGGGTGTGGGAGGGGTGGGGAGAGAGGCGAGCTGGGGGAGCGGGACAGGGCGTTGGGGGGCTCTCAGGGGCCTGTGGATGAGAAGATTCTGGGGCCTGGGTGGGTGCGAGCGGGGCCCGGGGTAGTGGGAGTCGCCAGGCTCTGAGCAAGCGAGGGCTGCACCTGCACGTCTGCCGGGCATTAAGAAAGGTAAGGAAGGGAGGAGCTCACCCGGGTGGGAGACAGAGCCGGGGCGCGCGAGCTTGGTGTGGGGGCGCCACTCCGGGGCGGAGGGGAGGGGCTACCAGTGACTTCTCCGAGGCGGGAGCTAGAAAGAGGCTTCCGGCCAGGTTCCCTTGGAACAGGTGTCGGAGTTGTTGGGAGAGGGGGCTGCAAGAAAGAGGGGTGCAGAAACTGGTTCATTAGATGGAGGCTCTGGGCGGAACCGCGGGGACACCCTGGCCGCGCGCGGTGCCTGCGTTAGGCCGGGAGGGGAGCGCGCGCCGGAGCGCGAAGTGTCCTTAGGGACCCAGGCACCCGGGGGACGATCCCGGCCACGGCGAAGCGCTGCCCACCAGGAGTCTCGGAATGTGGAGGAAGATGCCCAAGATTCACCTCCCGGCTGCCTACTTCGAGCTGAGAAGGGGATCTGGTTTTTCACAATACCGTGGATGGCGGGGCAGGGGAGGGAACTTGGGATAAAATCCCATCTTGGTTTCCTTGATGTTCTAATTTAGAGAAAAAGCCCATTTTATAATTGACTTGCTTCCCCTCAGAGGTTTCTGAATGTTGTTTTTAAGATGAAAAAACTAGGAGTGTTAATATAAACAGTTGGAGAAAATACAATTATTTTAGTAATAGAAAACAGATGTAGTGTGTTTACTTTACCTAGCAATACCCTTAATATTTTCAAATAATACACGCCTGACTAGACTGATTCAGGCTGCTGATTTTATATTAAGTCTAAGTGCTTAAAGTACTATATGCAAGTTATTACTTCTTTGATAATTACTATATGACACTAATTAAATGTGGTAAAATTGAAGAGTGTACAGTATCTTAAGTCAGAAAAAAAAATTCTAAGAAAAATTATATGGTTCCCTAAAAGCCACTGACTCTGGCTAGGAGAGGAGCTGTGACTCCCAAGACATATTCCAGGAGGTCTAGTCAGTGCTCACTGCGTCAGAGCAATTCAGTATCATTTGCTTACAATTCTTAAAGGAACTCAGGGACTTAAATTAAGTAGCAACATCTTGGTTATGAAAGAAACGCTATGTAACCTTCACAGTGCTGGGAGCTTGAAATATTCCATATTCCAACAAAAGCCATGATTTTGACATTGTTCTACTGTTTTATTGACTCATTGCACTTACAAGTTTTGCTAATGATACACAGTCTACACTTAATAATAAATTACACTCACAGTGTTTTTAGTGATGTGACTTTGTTTCAATATTTTATAATAAAAGAGTATAATAGTTATTACAGACAATGATAGAAACGTTTGCGGCATCATGACAAAATAGTGCAAAAGCCTAAGTTATCCAAAAGATGTAGTGATCATAATTATAAAGACTGTGTAGTGTTCCTGGGAAATGCTCACAGTGAGACAACAAGCAGTAAAAACCGAATCTAACCAGGCACTTGTACAGTAGTTACAATGGTATTACAAAGCTTGTCTCTGCATGAACACAGTCAAGAAAGTCACACATACACAAAAGACTACAATGGTGTTCTGATATTGAGACTGTTTGTTTTTTCTTTCTTTGAAATATTATTTTGCTTTATTGTCATAATGTTATTTTTGTAATAAATAAATTCAGAGAGAATATCCTACTATTAGACATGGGAAATGCCTAGAAATCTTGAGATATTTTTCCTTATTTACGTCAGTATTATATTTGGTTTACACCTCAGAAGTAATAGTGAAATTGTTAGAGACAAAATACTCTAGTAATCAATTTGCTATTTTCTGTTGAATTTAAAAATTTAATTCAATTTACATTTGATTCAATAGTTGCAATAGTATTGAGATTTTAATGTCAATAAAGTACTATTTTTCTCCAATTATTATTTAGATCATTATAGATGCATAATTATTTTATGAAATGGTTTTACTGGAGCTGGTTTTTAGGGAAACTGACAGTAGAGAGAATTTCCAGTAATTTCTCTTCTATTTATAGAGACATACTATTTCTTCTACAGGAAAACTAACCTCTGATTCTTTTAAACGTCATAGTTCCTAATGTTACACACTCAGTGATATTATTAATTGATTATTATAACTTCTGCTTTCAAGAATAGTATTTTGTTTTGCCAAGGGGAGATAGAAACTTCTCTTAGAGGAAAGGAACCTGTTTAAGAAACATTATGAACAGCAGAGGGCAGCCGATTTACTAAATGAATAAGACTTGTTAGCTGTGTAACTTTGACTCCCACCTTAAGAAAATATATAACAAATGGATATACCAAGTCCTGATTTATAGTAATGCATCTCTATGATAGAATATGGAAAAGGAAACAGAATATCCTCCATTTTGCATCATACCTTAGAATGGCAGTTTTCCATTAATTATGCTTTTGTTGATTTAATAAGTCAATTTATAGTTACAATGGGCAACTATCTAGAATGCATGCCAATAGAAATTAGCAGAGAAAACGCCCAAAACAATGATAGCTGGGAATTATCAATAACTATGGAATGCAATGAAAGGCACATGTTTGAGCAGAGTTGTGTTAAAGGAAGTGTTAGTGGCAGAACTAGAATTTTGTCTTTGCTGTGGTTAACCTATTGAATCTTTTATCATGCAATAATTAAATGTCCTATGGAGGCACTGCTAAGGAACACGGAAGCCTCACAACAGTCAGTGACACACATACAGATGGTCAGTCAACAGATGGATATTCACACAAATCACTAATCTCAGTGATTTAACACTTTCCATGCGGAACATGGACAGGCCTTTGAGTACAGCACTAATATTAACACTCAGAGACTCATTTAGGAAGTATGATTATGGTTCACTCTAATTGCTCAGAAAAGACAAAAGAACAAAGATACTGATATGCATCTTTCCAACCTTGGGGTGATTTTTTTTTTTTGGTTTCTTTTCATAAAAAAACAAAACACCAGCAGACCTCCGTTTAAAGCTAACTTTGTGTCGTCAGTGCAAGAGGATGTGTTTAAGAAAAACTATAACTATAAATCACACGTGATCCTTACTTTAAAGCTACCAAGGGTGAACAACTTTAAAAATTTTAGTGTTTTCTACAATTAAAAACATTCAATTGTTTTTGTGGTTATAGAAATTCCACTAAGTATTCTCAGTGAGGCATATGCTTTCTGTACGTTGTTCTATACAAAAGAAGTGTTGGTGCTATTTCGTTTTTGAAAATTATGCTCATTCCATTTTAAGCTTTAATGACATCGACTACCATGTTTTATATTTATTGTGGTTTCACAATAAATGCTATATACATTATCAGTTGGGATAATTCTTAACGGTCATCAGATGAAACTCCTTAAATTTTTACAGTTTAAGTATTGACTGACAATCTTTATTGATAAAGAAGCTTAAGCTCACTAAGGGTTTAAATTGCATTTCAACTCGGCACGGTGTTTCCAATGATTATTTTCTTCTGCTTTTATCGTGTTCAGGTTTAGTTATTGTAGGGTAAGGTCACATTTTCATATTTTTTTACTTTCATTTTTTTTTTACTTTATCAAGCATACAGAGGTCCTAAACAAATACTTTATTGATTTTTTTTTAATTTAACATTAATCACCTACAAACATATCCAATGTAATGGGATGTAAAGGTTTTAGTAATACAATCCCAGGAGAGTTTTTATAATTATCTCATGGAAAAATTAAATTGTGGAAATACGGTTCTGATTTGTGGTTCGAGTCCGTTCAAGGCAAATTCCTGGTGACCGCTGCTAAGTACTTTTCCAGATCAAACATTAGGCCCAATTAATTAACCTTTCTAAATTTACAGTCACATGAGTATTTATGAGCTTCAAAAAAGTGCACTCACTTTTACTTTCCCTGTTAAAGAACATAAACACGTATGCCACTGATTCCTAAGGAAGATCTTTTTGCCAGGGTCTTGGAAGGACTTTTGTTCAAACAATACTAACCCCCCTGCCTCCTCTGTATCCCAGGGAATCATGGAATTCGTGAGTCACTACTAATAGCAGTGTGTCAAATCCCTCCAAGAATGTTTTGAGACCCACTGGGCCTTTTGCACTAGAAATACATAGATTTCATGGATAAGCAACAGAACAAGGATTCAGTCCCTCACCAACTTTATCCTTTAACTGCAAGGGTGAAAACTGTGTTCATTCATTCACTTAGAAATTCCACGAATGCATATTCACTGAATACCTACTCTAGGCCAGGCATTGTGCCAGGTGTTGGGATACAACTAGTGGACTAGTCACGGCCCTCACCTTCAAGAAGCTCAAGATGTCATGAGGAACACAGTGTGCCATGGGCACATAGCAGGGAGAGCCTCCAACCTAGTGCTGAGGAGTCAGGCACATTCCCTGGGGGAGGTGGGATTGTGCTGGGACCTGGAGGATGGGATGGAATTCTCCATGTGAAGGACAAGGTGGTGGGGAGAGCTTTTCCTGGTGGGAAGGAGCAGCCTTTACAGAGGTCCAGCAAGGCGGGAACTGAATGTTCTCTGTGTAGCTGGAACCTAGCGAGGCAGGGAGGGTGGGAGGAGAGATGAGGCTGGAGAGGTCAGCTGGAGCCCAATCACAAGTCTTCTATAAAGTATGCTCAGGGTTTTAGATTTTGCTCGAAGGACAGTGAAGAGCCAGGAGCAAATTTTGAGCTGGAGGTTTTATAAAGATTTTCTAAAGATTGCCTCTGCTGTGGTGTGGAGACTAGACTGGAGAGGTAGGGAAATGAATTAGGTGGCTGTCACTGTAGTCCAGGCACGGACAATTGTGGGCCAGAAGAGAGGAGCGGCGGTGGCATTTCTCCTGGCAGGCAGACATTGAGTCCACTGGAGGAGAGGGCACAACCCAAGAGGGCCCTTTGGAAAACTGGGCGGATGGAGAGGCCGTGTAAAGATTCAAAAGAGCAACACAGAATTACCCAGGTGCTGTGTATGGTTTTCAAAAATGAAAAATGAAAAGAGCAAAGGAATGCTCCCAAGCCGTCTTGGAGTCAAAAGACATGAGAATGCACGGATCAGACCGTGTTAGCCCTCAGCGCTGCCGTTCGCTGTGATGCCACTCTCATTCAGCACGCGGCTCTTCAGTCTCTAGCTTGTATTTTCAAACATATCAGAATCTTATGTAAACTGTATCAATATGCAGCTAGTCTCCACATCACCACTGCCCACTTGGCTCTTTTTGTTTTCTGATTTATAGAGGCAATTGAAATGAAGTCAGGACTAATTGTTTTAAAAAGATGATGAGCTAGTCCTACACTGGAAAAGCTGGCCAAAATGTTCCATACGGCCAGCTCAAACCATTTTGCTTAAGGCTGGTCCTCTCCAAAATTGCTTAGGAGAGGTAAAAATGTTTGCTCTTTCCATTTCTCCATAAGATAGCCATTCTCATTTCCTTCTAAGTTTCTAAGTTCCTTCTACTTATCTTCTCCTGTGGCTGCAGAGACCTATCGGCACTCGAATCTCTGTCACACTCATGGCTCCAGATCTTCCTGTCTTACAACCAGTCACATCTGCTGGTCCTGTGTGGTAACTACTTAGGGCCTAAGTTTCTGATAAAGTAAATCAAGTATACTTTACTATAAATTAGTCAATAAATAAACTAATTTATACTGCAAAATCATCAAATAAGCCAATCCAATAACGACTACAGCTTAAATGTGTTTCCTGCTCAGCTACGCCTGGAGTGGCTATACAGCAGTGACCAAGTGCACCAGGCATGAGTATGTCTGGGCTCAACTCCTAGTTCTGGCTCCCACCGGCTATGTCTCCCTGGGGCAAGGCGAGCTAATGTGTGTTTCAGTCTCTTCATCTGTAACATGGAAATGCCACGTGTCTGCTTAATAGGACTGTTGGAAATTTTACATGAGATAAGGCATAAATTACTAATGACAGAGCCTGGCATAGAGTGAGTGCTCAATAACGATTTATAATGATTGCTATTGCTATTATTATTGCTATTGTAAAACAAAGCGTCTTTAAAGTCTTTTCTAACCCAAAGACAAGAGTAATGTGCGAATTTCAGTCACAATGATAGGGTCAATGTATAAACCCTCAATGGAGCAAAGGGAGCATTTTTTAGTTGTGTGTCTGTTTTAACCATACGAGAGGCTGTTTACTTTGCACAAACTCAGATCTACTCTTGCATAGATATTAAATGATAGATTATACGTTCCTCAAGGTAGAGAGTGTGCTCTGTTCCCCGCTGTGCACCTCACATAAAGCCTGGCATGTAGCTGCTGCTCAATCAGTTCTGCTGAATGACTAAATAACAGAAACATCCTGGTGGGAGAGCTTCTAAAACCAATCCTGTTTCCTGACACCACAGCTCCCAAAGCATTCCCATACATTTACCATGTTCATTATCCTAAGAGTCTCATAAATTATTAGAAAGATCATTAAAGTTTTATTGCTTAATTTAAATCTGAGACGTATTATTTTGCTGTTTTCAATTTTATGCATTGGTGACATTGTGTTTCACTCAATTCTCATTCTGGAAATTTCAGAGTAGCATGATACTCAATCATAGAAACTAGTAAATGGGTTATAAGTTTGCAATGGTGCCTGCAAATCAGTGATTTTTTTTTTTCTTTCAGTTTTTCTTTCATAGTCCTGTTACTCTAAAAGATATGAGTTATTTAAAGAAAGGGTAAGAAGGCTGAGATAAATATCATGTATGAATTATCCGATGATAAGGTTTTGAACATGCTTCTCCAGAACACGACCACAAATACAGGGTTTCAAAAACTAAATCAAGGACACTCATGTTGGGTGTGGCAAGGCTAGGGTTTCCAATTAAACCACAGGGCTGGCCTTGGATTACATATGAGTGTGATTTCTTGGAGACTCTTGAAGGAGCTCCACAAAGAAAACTCTCTTTTTCCTGTTCACTGACACCTAAAATTCTTTTAGAGCAAAAATGAGAGTAAATTGCAATTGATTGCAAATGTTTTCCTAGAAGTAGATTTGGAAGGAGATGCAGAGGAACTGTGGAGTTTCAAAGAAAATCCTGAGGGCACTGATTTCTGAGGGGAAGCAAAGAACATGTAAGGGAGTATTGGGGAATCAAAACCAAAGGCCAAGGGAGGACCTATGTGTGAACCTGCACTTCGAGGAGGGAAGTGGTTCTTCTTAAGTGTATAGATATTTTTGTTTGTATATAATCAAATAACTGGAAAAAATCCTGCAAAGTGAAATATAATCTTGATCCATTAGAATGACAATCAATCAGGAAGCTTGAGGCTTGGTAACCTGAGGAGGGATTTAATAAGAAGCAATTAAAACAACTTGTTATAAAAAGGGCATTTGGAAAATTTCCCCTTCATCCAAAGAAATATTAAAAAGCCAATATGGAAAACAAGGGATAGAACTGCCTGGGTCCATGTGTATTGGGGAGATTAATCAATGATTTTTCTCATTAGCAAGCTATGATAGCAATGAAGCATTGCATTTATGAATGTTTTTTAAAAGTTAAACTCTGGTTAATGATTAGGCACAGTTATAGTTACATGCAAATGAATCTTGAATATAAATATATATATGTGTGTGTGTATACACATGTGTATATATGTGTATGTATATACACCTACGTGTGTGTATATATATAAATACACACACACACACATAATTGGTCAGTAAAGACAATATTTTAGAACATGTATCTTTCAATTCTGAGATGAGATGCACAAATCATGATACAAAATAAACATGATTTCTAAGTAATTACCTTTGTGACAAAAATTGCTAATGGATCTAAAATTCAGGTTTATTTGGGAACCCTGGGAGCCTAGCGAGCTGGCATATTCTGTTTAACGACAAGTGCTTACTGGTCTTTCATGCTGCAGAATTGATGACTTGCCAGGTTCATATTCAAAAATACTCCTTGGCTCAGACCGAAATTTTCTTGTGTCCACTTTTCTGTCGGGAGGATCCCAGTCATGCCTAGAAATAAACAACAAATCACACATTAAAATAATCCTTTTTGCTTAAAGCAATGGTATAAAACCAGTTATCTGTTTTCAAAGTTACTTTTAGTATAGTTTAAAAAAAATCTCTCAGGATAAAAAGCTAATCTGTGAAAAATACCACATTCCCCCACGCTGGCTCAACAAGTCACATGAGGTGTTTGTAGACGCGCAAAGAGTGACCAGTGAGTGACCTCCTGGGTCCCTAACGGCAGCCATGTATGCTTGTGCTTAAAATAGGTGGCAGTATGCTCTGCTGAACTATGTGCGTTTAACCCACCACTTTGTGACCTTTGTGATCCTTGATCCAAAGTGACAAGGAGTAATGCACACACCATGTTTGATCTTATTTCTTGAAGAGGGATCATCGCTTGGGAAGAGTACAGAAGTGTCATGTGGGTTGACGTGTACCAGAGCAGGCAGTGTGGTACAGGAGGTCGTCTTTTGGTGTGAGCCTTGAAAAACCAGAGTCAAAATCTCACTCATGGGAACCAGCACTTTTCCCCCAAGGAATATCTTCCACGAGGCTGTCAGAAGACTTACGAAGGAAAGCTTCAAAAACGGGTTTTACAGAATTAAGCTTTTCTAGGCTGCTGAGCTAAAGAAGAAGGCTTCTTTGGGCTTTTTTTGTTTTGTTTTGTTTTCGAGACAGAGTCTTCCTCTGTTGCCCAGGCTGGAGTGCAGTGGTGTGATCACAGTTCACTGCAGTCTCAAACTCCGGGGCTCAAGCCATCCTCTCTCCTCAGCCTCCCAGGGGCCATGGTTTTTAGGAGGAAGGATTTTCTGACTAGAGATGGGGGTAATTCTGATTCCATGGAATGGAATGAAATTCTTGCTCCATGGCCCGTTGGAAATAGAAACGCTCTAAGGGACAGTATTAGGGGCAAGTCCTAGCTTTCTACTAAATTCATGAGTGATATGGAGCAAGACCCCTTAAACCTTCTCAGTCTTCATTTTTTTCCATTTGTGTAAAACGCAGATAGCAATAATGTGTTGTTCTTCCTTGCAGAGGAGTTTTGAGCATTACATGAGATAATACATATGAAAGCCATATGGAATTTTTTAGGAGGTCATCATATGTTTTAGTGAGAGATTTAATTTTCTTTTTTTTTTTTTTTGAGACGGAGTCTTGCTCTGTGGCCCAGGCTGGAGGGCAGTGGCCAGATCTCAGCTCACTGCAAGCTCCACCTCCCGGGTTCACGCCATTCTCCTGCCTCAGCCTCCTGAGTAGCTGGGACTATAGGTGCCCGCCACCTCGCCTGGCTAGTTTTTTGTATTTTTTAGTAGAGACGGGGTTTCACCGTGTTAGCCAGGATGGTCTCGATCTCCTGACCTCGTGATCCGTCCGTCTCGGCCTCCCAAAGTGCTGGGATTACAGGCTTGAGCCACCGCACCCGGCCAGTGAGATATTTAATTTTAACAAAACATACAGGACAGGTAATACCTTTAAATCAAAATGTTAATTTTGGTTATTTTTTGATGACAAAGATAACAATTTGTGTCTAGAAAACTGTTTCTCAATTTTAAGGCCTCACATAATTCATTCTGAGGAGATTGGTATTAAAATGAGAATCCCTTCACACATGAGGTGCGTGTTTTGGTGGGATATGCTGTACCCTATATGAACATCAATTACTCTATTATAACACTTTTATTTATTTTTTTTAGTGAAGATGGGATTTCGCCCTGTTGACCAGGCCAGTCTCGAACCTCTGGCCTCAGGCAATCCACACACCATGGCCTCCCAAAATGCTGGGACTGGCCGGGTGCAGTGGCTCACGCCTGTAATCCCAGCACTTTAGGAGACTGAGGTGGGTGGATCACGAGGTCAGGAGTTAAGACCAGCCTGGCCAAGATGGCAAAACCCTGTACAAAAATTATCTGGGTGTGGTGGTGGGTGCCTGTAGTCCCAGCTACTCAGGAGGCTGAGGCAGAGAATTGCTTGAGCCCGGGAGTCGGAGGTTGCAGTGAGCCGAGATCGCACCACTGCACTCCAGCCTGGGTAACGGAGTGAGACTCCATTTCAAAAAAAAAAGTGCTGGGACTACAGGCGTGAGCCACCACGCCTGGCCTGATCATCAGTCACTCTAAATGCTACAATAGGGTGTTGAATACAATTTTTCTGGAATGGGTATGATAATGCTTCATAACCAGCATTAATAAGAAATAATTTTTATATTCTTACTTATTAATTGCTAGGATAGCATAGGCCTTGGGTTTAGTGAGAGCTGAGCTTAGACTCTGGCTTGGACACACTATAGCTGTATGAGCTGAATAAGTTCCTTCCATTTTCTAAACTGCAGTTTCTTCCTCTCTAAAATAGATCGTATCTCACTGGGTTGTTCTCAGAATCAAATGATATGACACAGAAAAAGCGCTTAGCCTAGTGCTTGGCTTGTCATGAGCGCTCAATAAAGGTTACCTATAAGTAGAAGTATTAGTCATAATCCCAGTAAAAATAACACAATAAAATGTGTTTACGAATTTTTATTTTCATGTGGATAGTTTGTATAAAAATATTTCAGTGGAGAAAAAATGAAAACTCGTAATGAAAAACTGGTAGAAACAAGTCACAGACACTAACTAATGCCTCCTTATGATTTATGAATAACTTTCCCTGCTTTCAAAAATGTCTCTTATTAATAGACCTGGGGAAACAGAAAATTAACTGCATAGCCTGTAACCTGGTATACCAAGGGAAGTACATGTCCATTATTTCTATTTACTTGTCTCTTCTATGTATGTATCGATCAAAAAGCAGAAAATGTGCCCATATTACTTCAAGTCTAATTTGGGGCACTCCGGTATCATGAAGCAAGACAGTGAAAACATTTGCTACAACCCCAGCCGAGGAGGTCAATATGGTATATGTACGGACCAACAAGATTATACACACACTCTCTCTGTGAGGTGTGCACTGATTCTTCTACTGAATGCCATGTAGCCTTATTTTTATCCTAAGCTAAACACAGGCCACCCTGGGAGGGGAAAATGCCTTACTTTTCTGTTGAAGACCGGTCTCTTGGTCGAAGTGGTGGGACTGGAGGTGGAACATGTGGGGGAGGCACTGGGGAGGACGCATCCTTAAAGGCATTAGTGCTGTTGTCGGAGTGGCTTTTGGAAAGAGGTCTGTAGGTTTGGGTCTTTGCAGCAGGGTGTGACTGAGCACTGTAGGGTGGGTTGTACAGACCTATCATGACAAAAAACAAAAGTAGACAAAAAGCAGAAGCAAATAACCTCTTACAAATGAATTAAATTATGTGTCCCCCTTGAAATAGCCAATGATTGCATAGAAATTATTATCAATAAGCATATTCATAATGCATACATTAGAAGATAGATTTTTAAATTTATTAATAATTTACTAATTTCCATTAATTTATTAATTACAAATTTATTCTGTACATAAGCCCTGATTACAGTAAATCTTTGTCAATTATTTTGGAACTTGTAATAATTCAGACTGGTACTAGGAATAAACTTATAAGTACTCAGCACATTTTCTCTTCAATCGTATACACTAAGACAATAGTTAAACAGCTGCTGAAGGGGAGGGGAGCAGGGAAAACCTCAGAACCTGGTCTAAAGAAAGAAGAAAAGAAATAGTTGCGCACCTGTCCTGAGCCTGTGGCTGGGCAGGGAGAGGAGCCCTGGGCGGAATCCCCTGAGACAACATTCGGAGAAAGTGATGAAGGGAAAAACATTTCTCAGGGGTCCCTCCCTCCAGCCTGCAGATCCCGGCAGGAGATACCAATGCTCGTCAATTCAAGTGGCAATGCCTGGAACTGAAGTCATTCTATTATGACCACTGGCAATTCTGAGTCAGAAAAGTGGCCCCGCCAAGGGGGATTTTAAAAATCTTTCAATGAATGGTTGCATTTTGGAGCTAAAAGCAGGGACAAGGTCACAGAATACTTTGTTTGACTTGTTTTTGGTGAAGTGTATCTGAAAGATCTTACACAATTGGAATCATTCTCTTTGCTGATAAAAGATCTTTATCTTATTTTGTACCCTGGGTTACAGTGTGTCCTTTCAGCCTGTCCTTCACACTTTGGTTAAACATTCCTGAAGCTGAGAATAAACAACAGTGGGAATGAATGAGATAAACCAGTATTAGTTCTCATTTCCATGAGAAAAGTCAATCCTTTTGTTAGGCATGCTCTGAGAAAGGAAAAGCAGTCGTCCTCCTAATATATGAACTGAAAACATGTGCTCAAACAGAAAGGCAAAAAAGGTGACTGTGTGGTTCTTCCAGCCATTGCTGAGCATAAAATAGACATTGCAAGCAAGGAAACCCATCCTACCTGCATTGTATGTGTAAGGAGTATGATACATGTCTGTGTCATCATCTAGAAAATGAAACATAAATATCATGGTAATACAGATTGCCACCAAAGTATAATGAGACAGCAGAACTTCAGTGAAACAGCAGAAATTTGTTAGAAAAGCAATGTATTTTTCCTAGTTCATAATGCCATTTTTTTTTTTTGACAGGGTCTTACTCTGTCATCCAGTCTGGAGAGCAGTGTTGTGATCATTGCTTACTGCAGCCTCCAAACCTCCAATCCCCGGGCTCAAACCATTCTCCCACTTAAGCCTCCTGAGTAGCTGGGATTACAGGTGCGTGCCACCACAGGCCTCTGCAAACTGCCCTTTTTTGTCTGTAACATATTCATCTTGCTGCCCTCCTCATAGCATGCGGAGTCAGGCCCTCGTCCTCGCTTCCCCAGAACCCTCTCTGCTCTGCATCGCGAATTTCCTTTACCAAGTGTTTTAGTGCCCTCCTGTCTACAGAGCTGGCTCAGGCAGACCTGCTCAGACTCACTCTCTTGATGAGAGCAGACAGGGGTGGGCAGAGGAACAGTGTGCCTGTTTACCAGGCAACACACCAATTTAGACTGTGGACAGGGGAGGACGGAGGCTGAGGCCAGAGTGCCTGGTTGTCCTCCGTGGGGAGGCTTCTTGGCAGCTCAGGTGGTAGGCAGAGGCACAGGGATCTGTCACTGGAGGGGTGATAGAAGGAGAATAGGAGGCATGCTGAAAAGAAAGGGGACGTGGAGTTTGCTGGGGTCTTGACATTGTGTATGAATCAAACCTACACAAAAGATGAGTGTACCCCCTTCAACCCACTAGGACCTGATCAAAAAGCAGAGCAGCAAACGTACCCGGCTTGTGCACCATGTGAATTTGCTTAAACATCGTCTTGTACCAGTCCTTCGGCCGGTCGACTGTCTGTAACGAACAGAGCGTCCAGTGGTTACAAACTGGCTTCCAATCAACATGGCTCCTCAGTGTTTTCATTCCTCTATTTTATCTTCTTAATAACAGAGTCCCATTCTGTGATAAAATGTTCTGACTCTTTACTATGGCTTCATGACAATTTCAGCAATTTATTTAGTTATGTGTGCAGTTTGTTAATATATTACCTTGTGTTTGAATTTAGGCTGAATTGGAACTTCAGATGCTCTGGTTTTATTTTTTCAAATGATAGCTGTGCTCAGCACTAGAGAGTTGATATTTGCACAAATATATTTATATAAAGTCCACTTAATAAAAGTTGTTGTTGTAATAAATTGCTTAACTCCTTTTGGTAGATAATCATCATTATCCTTAGATGCTTTTTATTGAACGTTCTGTCAAGACGGTGATTTCAGAATTCACTGGGGAATATTTTTGACTCAAACTGTATTCTGATCAGCGTGGCTCTAGAGAAATACATTTGCTATTTACTAGTCTAAGTTACTAAAATACAGAATGTAGTAGGCATCCTAGAGTCCTAGAGAAAATTTAAGAATGTAGATATTGCTTCAAAAATTTTAATATGATAATAAAGTGTATACAACATTGGCTCTGCTAAAGTTGTAAGTTCCTTGAGAGTAGAAGTCCTCCCGGATCCAGGCTTCGGACATGAGGGGAGCAGTAAGTTGTAGTGGAAAGATGAAATTAATGTAGAATCTTGAACCAAGATTCAAATCTTGGTTCCTTAAATTGCTGCTTAATACACTCTAGCAATACGAATTTGGGCAAGTCATGTCAACCTTCTTGAGCCTCGGTTTTCTCCTCTGTAATATATCATAATTATATCTAAGTCCTAGGATTGTTATGGAAATTGAATGAGATGATGTCTACACAAGGCCTAGAACAATGCCTAGAATATAATAACTACTCAATAATATCACTAGGGAACCACAAATATTTGTAGAATGAAATAATGAATCAAGGTAGCCTATTGGATGGAACTCTGCCTTTCTGTACACCTGTAAAAGTAGACACGTGCTTTTATAATCGTACTCATAGATTTTGCAAGATCTTACCCCAACTCTCTTAGAGCTACCTGGGCAACAAGCTTGACCATTCTGCTTATAGGAACTAAATATACCAGACTTTCCAAGACAGCTCTCTTGACTTAAAAAATTCCATTAGGACTGATACAAAAGTATTCTTATACTTATTAGACTGAGCTTTGGTTTAGATTTTCTTGCCTGATCTTTTTTTCCCCTCAGAAATGTGGTCACTGCATTTTTCATCTGGACATTAAGGGTTTTGTGCTATATCTAAATTTATTTTGACCTCTGGGCGTATATTATTCTGAAAATCACCCCAAATACAGATTAACATCAAGGGCCCCTTGACTTTGTTGTGAGTCAGCTCTTCATTCTGGGCTCTTTCTCCATGGCATAGTTGAGGTTATTGGTGGAATATTCAGTCAAAGGATGGGAAATGGTGGAAGGGATTGCAGTGATGAAGCAAGAATCTATTATTTGCTGGCTCAAAGTTGCTAAACATGTATCTTTCAAGAAAGTTTATTTTTATAAAGGACTGATTTCTCTTTCATTAAACCTCATTTCTTTTATGGTACTAAAGCAACAGAAAATACAACATAACGTTGTGCAAAAATGTTTTCCTGGACATGCCAATGGCAACAAGGAAGGGTACGAAGTGAGTTCTATCACTGTATATGGCGATGCGTCTTGACAGACAGGTTTTTTTTCTTCACTTGCTGGAGGGCCTATATCAGGTAGAATCTCACAGTGATGCCATCTGCCAGCTTTATATGGTGAGCACAGAGAGGCCAGAAAATGCCCCGTTGGCAAAGGAAATATGAAGCTGGTAAACTAAAATATTAAAACTCTATATCCCTTTCTGAAAGAAGTACTCTCAGCATTTAAAGTTCCTTTTGTAAATTTTGTAAATGCCATCATAGAGATTGCTATGCCTAAGGTTCAGAATAAGAAAACAGTCTACTCAAATTTCAGGAAGTTTACTTTTGTATGTAAAATCATTTTGCATAAAAAACAGCTACTAGCAATTCACGACGCAGTTTTTTCTACAACCTCGACTGAATAGACCTGAATTTTTACATTCCTACAGTTTTCAAAACATCAGAACTCTACACCAATTTAACATGCAGAAATTTCCAAAAAGAAAAAAAAGACATATTTTCTACACAGCAGTAGACAGTGACTCTGTTCTATTTTTTTCTCCTTCTCACTTTTGAAAATACTCAACCAAGTGTTATATTGGAAGCAGAAGAAAAGAATCTTGTGTTTCACTTAACTAGCTGGCCTTAATGACACAATCTCATGGGAGCTGAGCCCTGGTGATTTTTGTGGTTTTGAAGAACAGCAGTGAAAGGTTCACATAGATGTCCTAGGTCACATGAGAGAGGGCAATCTGGAGGGCTGCTTGCCTTCATTAAAATAGCTCAAAAGTACTGTTTGTTGACTCTTGGCTTTCTAGAGTTTCTGGATGACTTTACAAAATTCTGTTTCCTCGGCACAGGCTGGCTGTCTAAAATGATCCTACAGCACGGTACATTGCGACAGTACCGCCTTTGGCAAAGACACTGAATCTGATCATCACTACTTTCTACACATATGAGAAAGAAAAACAGCCTTGGAGAGTCTTGGCCTGCTGTGGCTCAGAGACAGCCTGACTTGACATTTATAATCACAGCTAAACAAGGGGATGTGCTCGGGAGGGCTGTATGGTCAGTGTAAGACGAGAGTCCTCATAGAACTGTACCTTCTTTGTCAAGTTTTAAAGGTCTAAGTAAGAGGACAATTATGCATAAAAATTACGGTTCCTTATAAGGAACTTCTGCATTGGTTACATTGTGTTTTCTATTTTATAGAAGGGAAACTGGCATTAAATGTGTAGTGTGTTGGCTTATGCATACCCAGACGTGCTTTTGATTTGGCAGTGGATAAACATTTAAAAAATTTTAAGATGATTTAATTTTCATCAACCATCTCTAGCATCTCAGTTTTTCCTTTTGAAACTAACCAAGCAAAGTCTGGTTAGTTAAGGAAATTATGTCTTATAATGGATAAAAACATGGACCAGGCTTGCACGTCCATTATATATCATTTATTGACCTAAAACATACTCAGATATTTTTGACAAAATCCTCTCAGACAGAATCTACAACTACATAGAATCAGGACTTCTTAGTTTTGTCTATACTGTGCCTCAAGTGTCAATTACACAAAACCAATGACACCATATCTGTCTGTCTATCCCTACATAATTAGAAGAAAGTTTCAAATTTAACCATTTTGAGTCAGAAATCTTATAAGGAAAATGAACAAGAAAACATATCACCAGAAACATGTAATCATCACAAAATGAAGAATATTGGTCATAATCCCTGAACTTTTGTTTGGCACATAAAAATATGGCAATTGTCAGTTTCAAGACAGATTGTTAGAGCATCATAATTAGTCACATTCCCTCAATCTAATGAGTCTAAAACCCCAGTAATTGCTGTACAGATTTACTTTTTGGCTTCCAGTTGTAATACAGATGCTGAGAATAATCCATTTTAAACTCTTCTGTCTGTACATAAAACACATAATCCCCATATAAAAATGTAAAGTCAAGGAGAGAAGAAAATCCCCACACTTTATCGTTAGTTCTTTTTGACTGTTTCCAATCTTACCATGGCTTTTTTTTTTTTTTTCCTGATCTCTTTCCCGTTCTTTGCTTCTATCCCTTATTGTCGTGGCTGCCCAGGTCTGCATTCCCGGGGAGCAGCTCTTGGCCACACCCCAGCTTTACATGGGTCTTTCTTCAAAGTACATGCAGCTGTGCTCCCTCCCCGCGGGGCCCCCAGCTTCACCTGCAACGGTGTTGCTGCTCTCATCCTGTCCCCGGCTTCCTTCTCCCGGCTGGCACAAGCCTTCTCTTCCAGTGGACGTGGTCAGCCAGCTGCTGCCTGCCCAGGTTCTCAGAAGCTGCCTCTGCTACTGCTGCGTTTTGCCGGAAGGGGCTGCCCAGATACACTGAGCAATGCTTTGGCAGAGTTTTAAAACTTAAAAAAAAACCCCAAACACTTTCACTTATCATCCCAGGAGAGCTCTCAGCAGGCATGGCTGAAGAGGGACACTAAAATGTGTATTTTTCTTCAGACAGCTTTTCCTTTCCATGACATTAACTCTCTTCACTCCAATCATCTCACCTCCCAACTCCCAAATCACAGCTCCCAATCCCCCGGTGTTAACACACATCCATTTCAAGAAACGAATACATCACTGGTTTATTTGCAATGCACGTGGGAATTCAGTGCAGCCAAAGAATTTTCACTGTCTCATTCCTTCTCTTTTGTCTCTATTGCCCTAAGCCTCTTTGGTAAAAGGTAAAAGAAAAACAAACAAACAAACTAAACCACACAACCTAGTTTTATCATTTAACAAAATCGCAATGTTCATGATGTTTCATTCAAATAGAAAAACAGATTGTGTAATTCTCTCCCATCGACAGCTTTCTTTCTCTGCCACACACAGCCTAACATTCATGAGAACTCGGATGGCACGGAGGGCAATCCTCATTATATAAGACCCTAGGAATGCGCAAAGCCATGGACAATGCGTCCTTTGTGGAGTCTGTGCACAGCCCCAGACAGACGCACACGCTGGCATTTCCTACCGTTCTAATTGCTGTGGGGATTCCGGATTCATCCACGGGCCCGATCCCTGGGTAATGCGGGGCTTTGATGACGGTGACTCTCTTCTCTTCCTCTGAGGATCGGTACAGGGGGACAGAGCTGCTGGTGGTGCCATCCAGAGAGTGCGCGTGCTGGGGATACGTCTCTGTGGAATCTGTACAGAAAATTTGGTAACATGGAATGTATTCATTGCACAGGGAAGCATCAATTCATGGTGTCTTGTATATTTATGCCAACTGCAACACAGAGTCCATATTGCCATCACTATCCCTTTTAACTCATTTACTTTCCATTTGAGCTGGTGGAGACTGTGTAGGTGTGCGGGGAACAGACCTACACCGGCAAGGGCCTCACCGTTTCATGAAGAAGGCTGGGGAAGAATGGCATTTGTTACATGACGGTCTGGAAGCCTCTGAGTTAGGAAGTGCTCTACATGCATTATCTCTTCTTATCCTTCCAGTAATCTTTGAGGGAGGGCAGGATAGGGGGAGCAAGAACCAGTTTTATAGATGAGGGGCAGGAGCTGAGACAAGGTTAGTAATTTCCCTCAGGTCATCATTTACATTAATATTATTCTTGTGATACTGCTAACTACTATTATCTACAAGTTTTGAAATGTATTTCTAGACAAAGATATGACTGCTGAGTCAGTAACAGTGATTTCCTAAAAATGAAGCAAAACCAAAAATCACTTAAAAAAATTTTCACATCCAAGCCTATGGTTATGAAAGCTTATGAATAAATAAATGCTTTAAAATTATTAGTACATTTCCTATGTGCGTTTTTACCTTAAAATATAAAAAATCATGACTTCTTACTTTTTGACGACAAAAACTGCCTTAAGGATATAATTTAGATGAGGCTTATCAAGTTCTTCATGGTTTTTAGTAACTTCTAGAATACTTTCAGAAGCAACAGAGTACAGACATGCAGTATATATTCCATTTACTCCTAGTTCACAGATATTTTTAAAAATCAACATTATTACCATTCCTCTGGTATGATTAATAATATGCCTTTCTATTTTTCTGCAATTACATTGAAAATGTTGGTGACAAAGAATGACACTTTGTATTTACTCTTTATGTCATGGTTTGTCAGGACTGCCACTCAGAAAGTCCTTTAAGGTAGAAATGAAAAGAATTCTCATGTTTCAGGGTGGGACTCATTGATACCATCATGTGTATATGATATATATCATATATAAATATATTTTTCATGAAAAATGTGTATAAAATATCATAAGTAAGCTTTTTTTTTTTTTTTTTTCTTGAGACGGAGTCTCGCTCTGTCGCTCAGGTTGGAGTGCAGTGACGTGGTCTCATCCTCCGCCTCCTGGGTTCAAGCGATTCTCCTGCCTCAGCCTCCTGAGTAACTGGGACTACAGACGCCCGCCACCAAGCCTGGGTAATTTTTTGTATTTTTAGTAGAGATGGGGTTTCACCATGTTAGCCAGGATGGTCTCGATCTCCTGACCTCATGATCCACCCGCCTCGGCCTCCCAAAGTGCTGGGATTACAGGCGTGAGTCACAGCACCCAGCCATAAGTAAGCTTTTTAAGAAATTTTAACTCATCAATATAAGGGTAATTATAATTCAGATCTCTCTAAGGGAAAATCCACTGTAACATTTGTAACTGCTATTACTATGATTATGACTATTTTCAATTTAGTTTGCGTCAGAAAGGCATTTTTAATACATTTTTTGATGAAGAATGGATAAGGCCAGTTATAAAACTGCTTTATGCGCAGTTTATGTGCTGGATGGTGACATAAAATGTCCCTGAATAAACGAACAGCATCATAGCCTTTCAATACTGAGTCAGTGCTGGGGAAGGCGGTGTGTTGTCTGCAGTCAAAGACGACACGGTGGTTCAAGTCCCCGGTTGTAGTTTCTTTCCCCTGTTAATGGCCCCTTGAATGTGAAAGTAACATTCAAGCTAGTCCTTATTAAAACACAATGAGATATGTGACAGTAATTGACTTTCTATTTAATTCCAAAAAGGACCTGAGTGGGCCGCCATGATACTAGTATTTTTATCAGCAGCAACTGTTTTTTGAACACTAGCACGTGCAAAGTCCTACTCTAAGCAAGGAGAATCAACTCTGCCTTCACATCTGATCCATTGCATTCTATGAACCCATACCTTATGCAATAGAAGTTACCCTTTATTTTATTATCCTCATATATGGTCATGAGAGACCATAGCTGAGATCTTAGCAATCTTTTGTCATCTTAGCAATCTTTTGTCCTAAACTCAATACAAAATTCATCTAGGGCAAGGTAGACGTACATATTCCCCTGAGACCTATCACAGCACTGGCCAGCTGGAATCTGTTCAATGTTTCCATGTGGAATGTCTTTCCATGTAGAATATTTTACATGTAATAAATCTGCTTAGCAATATGTTCTAAAATCAAAGCCTATCTACATTCAAGTATTTATATTTTTTTGTTGGATGGGGACAGGGACAAAACCGTATTCACTAAGACAGGCAATGAGACAGAGTCAGACTCTGTTAATAATTATTTGGGAAAAAGCTATGGCTAGAATAAATTGTCGAGTTTTACTTCGTATGTGTGTAAATGCATAGTTCCATTTTAAACAATCTAGATATAATGGACTTCCATCATAATACTACACTATGGGCTGATTGCTAAGGGCAAAATGTCGGCATAAGCAAGTTTGACTTTCTTAACTCTAAAAGGACATCATTGAGGGATTCACAGATGATCCTCAGGCATAGCATCGGCGAAGGCACAGATATATTTAGACTTTAATAAGTCCCACGGCTACCTTTAAAGTTTTATAGTTAGAGAGCTTTGGTTGACCTCAGAAGTTGAGTTCTATCATGCATATGCTGGATGCTGACATAAAATGTCCCTGAATAAACAAACAACATCATAGCCTTTTAATACTGAGTCAGTGCTGGGGAAGGAGGTGTGTTGTCTGCTGTCAAAGAAGACACGGTGGTTCAAGTCCCGGGTTTTAGTTTCTTTCCCCCTGTTGCTGGCGCCTGTGGCCAGAGGACCAGGCCTCTCCTTTTCTGGGAGGTGCAGAATGGTCCTGCGGTCCTGAGAATTGCCCTCTGCTCCCTGCTGTCCTAGAAGCTTCCTAGTAAGTCAACTTCATGGAAACTTGTTCAGCCTGAATTCCTATGATAGTTCAATTTCATATTGCTTTTTGATATTTTAGGTTTTTAAGTTACATTTTTACAAACTAAGAAATATTTGTGGGCTGGGTATGGTGGCTCATGCCTGTAATCCCAGAACTTTGGGATTAATCCCAGCACAAGGCAGGTGGATCACCTGAGGTCAGGAGTTCGAGACCAACCTGGCCAACATGGTGAAACGCTGTCTCTACTAAACATACAAAAATTAGCTGGGTGTGGTGGCAGGTGCCTGTAATCCCAGCTACTTGGGAAGCCGAGGTAGGAGAATCACTTGAACACAGGGGGCAGAGGTTGCAGTGAGCAGAGATCGCACCATTGCACTCCAGCCTGGGCAACAGAGCAAGACTCTGTCTCAAAAAAAAAAAGTCTTTATCACATTATTTTCTGAACTATCCGAATATATTTTACCATGTAAGAGCATTTCTATCACTGTATAGCACAGCTTCTTTCTCAGGAGGCCACAAAGAGTCCATGAGCCCCATGAAATTACCTGCTTAGAAGTTTTTATGAATGTCCGTATGTCCATTTGTTTTCTGGAGGAGAGCTCTGTCTTTTACTGAATTCCCAGTCCTCAGAGGGTTAAGAACGATTGCGCTATACAATGACCGAACCTTCATTTAAGGGAACTCTTAAGTTTCTCTTGTGTGGCTTCCCGCTACCGTATCCCTGACTGCAGGTCTTCCAGCCTTGGTTTGAATGGTGGTTTCCCCCTTTGTGAGCCAGTAGATGACTGCGTCACTGCTTTGCAGGACAGCCTGTCCTCCTATTACACTGTTTTACCTGTCAAACAATTCTCCCTTATATAGACCCCAGGAAATAGTCCACGGTGGACATGGTGGAAACTCTTCCAAAGACGAACAAGCTGCCCTAGTGGAAAAGCCTGCATTCATGTCCTCCAGTGGCGTAAACCCCCTTACCCTAAGTAACCATCTTCGTTTTCTTTCTACTCCACCACCCCAGACATTTAAGTGCCCACTCCAGGCTCAGACACAGGTGGAGTCATTGTCTTGGAAGAGGATGGTGCCCATTTTCTCCCATGTTGGGTCCTCTGCCCCAGTTTCTCCCTGGGGATAGGGTCATGAAATAGTGGAGTGCTGAGCGCCCCCCGCCTCACCTTGATGCTGCATATTTTTCTCCTGTGGTTGTACTTGCCATATTGAGGTTGCCATGGAAATCAGGGTGAGCAAATTACTTACCAAGGGACGTGCCGTGCTGCATGACGATGCTGGAGTTGAGTGAGGCTGGGAGAGAATATGCCGAGGGGGAAAACGGCCTCTGATAGTAACTCATGGGACTCACGGCACCTCCAGAGTTTCCATTCACTGTTATCTGGCTCTGGGAAAAGTGCAAAGCCATCGAGTTAAATTAGCACATAGTTCCCTGCAGACATCATTCCATCAGGCGATAATAAAAGACTTCCAATCACATGACAGTAATCAGCTGCCAAGCTCTTATTTATTTTGAAAACTGAGGTCAGAGGGCATGGTATGTTCTTTGCCTTCTCTCTCTTCCCTTATTTCTGAAAATCACTCTCTTGTGTATCTGAGGGCCCAGGGAGTGGTTAGGAAGAATGAAAGTGGCTGACTGGCGGGCATGCCACTCTGCCAACAGAGGTGCCAAATGGTATCAGTAGGAGTCAGTAGCAAGTAAACGTGGAGGACGACTTTGCTCTGACAGTCAGAATGTCAGCGGTCAGAATACTGTCGTGCTGTTCCGCATGCAGCACTGACATGGATGTCCTTCGACATGAGGCAAGGGATTGGTTCTCAGACCTAGTCAGGGATATCTTCTAGTGAATCAATGTTTCCAGAGCCAGGAGAATAACATAAGGAATCCAGTTGTTTGGATGTATATAACATGAAGCAACCTATTCTAGGAGGATCAAATACCTGGTAAAGGATCAGAAAGACATGTTCAACCACTGGCTTCTCCCCACTTCAGCCTCACTGAGCACTTCATCAAGCTCTGTTTGATTTCTTAATTATTCATTGTTTTGATTGTTTCGTATCAGGGTATTTTAGAACCCAATGGTATCTCAAGCTTCTTGTTGAAGATGGTCATATATATGCTTCTTTAATATTTTGTATAACATGCAGCCTAGTGCTGATGACAGAGTAGATGTTCAACAGGTATCTATTCTGATGGAACTGAATCGGCTTAGTTCACAGATATCGAGCTCAGGACTATCAAGCACGCCTGTCTACCCACAGCACAGTACTGACCATTACGGGGCACACACAATGCATGCATAGAAGATCAAACATTAGTAAGAACGTTTAGTTAAAATTATAACTAAGTACACACAATACACATGGGCACACAGATAAAGAACCGTAATTTGTGAATCTTTTCTACTTATTTTAAAACAAAACAAACTTCTATTACACAGGCTTGAAACATAGATATAGTAACTGCATAGTTCTCTGATTTTACTTTAAAGCAGATAGGTTTTCAAATGACCTAGAATAAGTCTAATTTGATTACTGTATAGCCACACCACTTATGTCCCCAAATCAATAAACATTTCATTACAAGCCTTACGCTTATTGATTAAGTAATTCTCTAAGCTGTTAGAAAAATTACTCTCATATCCTAACCAGCCACATCTTGAGGACCTGCTCCCTGGAGAGAGCTGGACATTCAGATAAGTGTGAGGCACAGGCCTACCCAAATCTTCAGAGCCTTTATGTACCTCTGATGAATGATTTGAGAACACTTTCACTTCCTTGCCAAGTTAAGTTTGGTGGATCTTTGTCAATATCATTGTAATAGTATTATAACATGTTATAATTAATGTTAAAAACCGAAGAATCCTTATTAAAAACTGTCAGGTTAACTATGTTACTAAACTTACAAACTTGCTCTGAATCCTATTTTGATGGTTTCAATAATATTGACTAGGGGTTAAAAAAGCAAACACTGAGAGTAGATTTATTCTTTTATTGTGTTAAACCAATCAGGATTTTACGAATACAATAGCATCATTAGCATTTTAGAAAATACTGTATTGTTATAGTGAATTCCTTATTAGGAAAAACATGTCATGAATAATCTATTTGCAATTTTAAACTGATAATTGCAATTAATTTCTCTCACAAGTAGCTCTGCTTGTGCCCACAAGACTGTATATAAGACAGTCTCCTGTAAAGTCTTAAAAGCAGAAAATTGAACAGGTTAGTTGGTAGACTGATACTCTCTCACTGCCTTAGATTTTTGGTTGAAGGTCCTGGTAAAGTTTTAAAAGTTAAGAACCATTTGAAGCACAGTAAGGCATGGGAGGAACCCACAACTGTGGTGCTCCTGGCTGGTCCCGTGTGGCAGGGAGGGACTCGCTATGGGGTTAGGCCTGGAAAACGAGGCTCCCTCTGTAGCCAGTCTCTGAATGGAACATTTGAATGCAAAGTGTTAGACCCAGCCACTGGGGGAATACTAAATCCTATTACCAAAAAAAGCATCTTTTACTTTTTGTAAATTGCAGTGTCTTAAAAAACATATGGCTTATTATAACATTTCTCTGTGCATAAAATTTGCAGATTTATGAGCTTGATAGAACATAAAACTATGTAGCACAAATAAAATTTTGTCTATGACAGTGCTTATTTGGAACTTCATTATAATATCAATTTTAAAAAATCAATTTTTTTTTTTTGCGTGAAGCTATGTGCCTCTTAAATGGAAGCCATTACTTAGACATTATATGCAATACAGAATCTGTGCCATAAAATTTTGAAACATTTTAGCCATTCACAGATCATTTATTAGGGATTGCTTATCACATAGATACATTTAAATAATATATGTATGGAAAAGATGTTTATATTGCATAAATGAAAGACAAATTATTGATATACAAAATTTAAAAATGTATTCGTAAATTTCTATCCCGAAATGGCTCAGGAAGAATAATTTTTAAAAATCATACAGCTAAATTTCTGAAAGGTAGATAAGATTATCGACATCATTCACTCCTGGACAACAGATAATTCAAAAGTTGTAGCTATTAGAGAAGGAGGGGCAAGAAAAATTAGCCTCATGCAGTCAGTAATCATTTATGTGAGAAACGAGGTTATAGAAAAGAGTCACACAGGACACATTAATGTGAGTCTGTGAGAAAAACTATTAACATGTATTAATACTGGGTTAAAATTTTTTGAAAAATTTTAGACTTTCTCTATGATCATAACATATTGTGATGTATGCTTACCTAACAAGGCAAATCACTGTACAACTCATCAGCTACAGTAACAGGGGAAACCATAAGTAACCATTTTAGAGTAATTGTAAGTAATTTTAAAATGAATGAAGAGAATATAAGTGACTTTTTTAGCCTTAAGCAGGCTTATGAGGATGTCTAATGATTTCCCTGACGGATGGCACAGAATTGGTTTCGGAGTCAACACCTATGCAAATAAAAATGTCAGCTGAAAAATGAGATGGCACAATAAATCAGTCCTTTTAAGGAAACGGTGGAGGCAAAGAAAGGCAGAATAATTACATGCGTGGCCGCAGGGGTGGTTAAGGTGGTGCCATCTGTCACAGCAGACCTCTGACCCCAGGTGGGGGAGGGTGTCTCAGAACGGCCAGTGGTGTCAGAGTCACCAATCTGCAGCTCCTCAAGCATGGCTGTGGAGGACTCACTCTCCGAGCGGGAGGAGTGCTCGGCCAGGGAGGAGTCTGTAGTCAGAGAGCCTGTGTCATGGCTGTGGATAAGGCTTTCAGGAGCTGGGAGCAGGTGTTTGTATAAGCAATGGGAAAGGCTGTGGGGTTTATGCAGGCGTGAAGACCCCAAACCATCGGGTGGCGGAAGGCTAAGTGATGCTGAGCTGGTGCCACTGCCTGGTGAGAAAGTGGCTCGGTTCAAAGGTACCACGGAAGGAGGGCACGGAGGAGAGGCTTCTGGTGTGGTTTGTCTGTGTGTCTGTGAAGCATTTACCTCCAACACACTGGCAGGTAAGTTCTGATTTCCAAGCTGAGTATGAGGAAAAAATAATAAGAGATAAATTATCCAATTAACAAAAGTACCTCTTTTTTGCAATTTGGCAGAGAAGGCAAAGCATCGGTTTTATTTGCAAGCACTTTAAGGAGTTACATTCAGATGGATTAGGTGCCAACCACACAGTGCAGAAAAAGCATGAAAACAGGAAGAAAGTGAACCCAGTCGGTGTGTTTTGGAAACAAGGCTGGTTTTCACACAGCACTGCAATGTAATTTTGGGTAGGGGCTTGAGAATGTTGGCACAATGAAACTGTTTCCTCAGGAGTTTTAGTTTTTGTATTTGTGACGATGATAAGATATCAGACTATTGGTCAGCAGAACTGGTTTGCCCTTCACTAGAAAAATCTAATCGCATAACTGCCTCCCCCTTGCCAAAATGTCCCCAAAACATAAATCTGTTTGTCTTATTTTTTCCTGGTTTATGAATCTAAATACTGATAATACTAAACACAACTAAGTGGAAAAGATAAATGGAAACGCTATTTTATTTCCTTTCCACTCATTAAATCTGTTCTTTGATTTCACTACAAAATATGAAAAGAATTGGACTTTAAAAATATCCTAGCAATGCAAACAGAGGTACCATGTGTGAAAATGAAAACCAGCCACCGATAATGGTTAGAACGCACCCTAGTTAGTTAGAACTGTGGTTGGCACTAAATCTTAGGTAAAGGAGAAAGAAACTGAAGGAAAAACAAAAGATTTAACAGCTCCAAGCCTATATATAGCCCAAGAGGCTAATCATAGCGAAGGGATGCTCTGTAGGAAGAAGAGAGATGACCGTTTGAAATTTTACAACCACCTGTGGTAGCCCTGATGACGTCTGACCGCACATGACAAACAGGATGATAAGCACTGAATTCAACATAAGTGAATAAAACTCCGAAGCAAGTTTTCTTACTTATTTTTTCTACCTTTCAGAATAAATATTTTTTTTGGAGGGGATGTTTGGGGGAGGAAATGGTTTGAAGATAGATGGCCAGAGGTATTGTGAGATACTAATACAAAGATGGGAAATGAATGAAGGAGAACCATTTACACTTAGAAATATTGCCTAGTAAATGTTTAAGGAGTACAATTTGGTGTTCTTTGGCAGCCGCAATTTTCATAATGGCTGATGTCATGCGCGTTGTTAGCATGATAAAAAAAGTTACAATACTTTTTTTCTCAGACTTTTACTTGAATACTTTTAAAAAAATCCATCATATAAAAAGGTCTCTCTGAATCATAGATCCCTTAGAAATCTGATGAAAGTGACTGATCCTTCTTTTAGGGAAATGCACAAATTCATACATACAGAAAGTTCTGCACAAACTTCACGGGGAGAGAGACACTCTAAACATATCCTTAATCTAACGGGTTAAGAAACCCCAACCCTGGATAAAAAGACAGATTTTCTTGTCCTAATCTCACTTAATATGATTTTTTCTTGTTCAAACAGAGTCATTTTAAATGTTATATATATATATATATATATATGTTTTACTGTTTATGGTTGTTTAAATCTCTAGAAATAACTGACAGAAATCTGAGTTACCCAGAACTTAAAATGTTTTGGTAGGGATGCACCCTTATTACTGAGTGCTTATAGTAATTGCAATCTTATTGGAGGTAAAACTATAATATTATGAAATTACCATAATTCTAACTTAATATATTAAAATTTTGCTATAAGTCTGAATGTAATTCAGTATAAAGCAGTCTTTGGATGGCGTCAATGAAATTTCCCCTAATAATGCAGCTTTACTAAGGATGCTTCCACGTAATATGAATCTCTTTTTAGTTTTATTTATGCCAAATGAAAACTATGAAATAATACAAATCATACAAAAGGATTTGAGTTATTTGCTCATAAGACTTTTCCCTTTGAAATTAAAAGAAAATAAATCTAATGACTTTAACTCCCGTTGGATTGACTTGTCCATATCCTATGACTCGAAACATGTCAAAAGCTAAAGCGTCTTCTTTCTAAAATCACCATTGTCATGGGTAATAAGATCAGTAGTTTGCATAGCATTGTGCCTGGGGATGGCCCTTATCCATTCAATTGTTCTTCCAAATAGAATGTCCACAGAAAACAAAATTATTCCACCTTTTGAATTTCTTTCACCACCTCCTGACACGTTCCTGGTTTTGAGTCTTTTAATGCACGTGTGTGTATGTGTGCATGTGCGTGTGTGTGTGTGCACGTGTGTGTATGTGTGCGTGTGTGTGTGTGAGTGTAAGGCATGAAATGCCTCGTGGTGAGTCACATCACACTTACATTTCTACAGATAGAACTCAATAATTCAACAGTCGTACTGGTCACCCACAAAAAAGCTTTGACAAGACCCCAATCTCCACATGAATGGAATACTCTATAGACCCGGGGGGAGAGAAAGACCATGAGACACGTGTTTCTCCTGAGGAAAATCAGAAGAGCAGCTGGAAAGGTGTGAAGGGGAAGAAGGCGGTATTTTCCCCATCTGGACTACCCTGAAAAATAGGGAAAACTGGCTTAAAACAAGCACATTTTTTTCCTTACTTCGTGAGTGGCAAGTAGATGATGCAGAAAATCATCCCCACTGTTTTGAGTCTCCTTTTCAAGACCGTGGAAGACTGAGGTGTTTGAATAGGGATCAAAGGTCACCAACTTTTTGTGAGTATAAATTGCTTTTTCTTTCCCCTACCCTTGAGCTAGCAGGAACGGGGTAAGGAGAAACACCAGCTAGCAGTCAGGGGCTGCCTGGTCTTCTGCAAAGGACAGGGACAGTACTCAAACCTATGCTTCATACACCAAGAGAGAGCACCTGCTTACTCAAACTAGCACTGAGCTTCTTCGTCCAAATGACTCCAACCCAGAATGCTAAGGAGAGCCTGTGGATGAGAGTGATCACCAATCGACACGGGAGCTCCTGAGGAATGAAGGGGCATGGAGATTCAAGGGAAGGTGAGCTTCAGCAGTGGAGAAAGCGTATTGAGTTGGATGAAGGCATTGCAAACTCAAGTGCCCATCATGGGCCAGGAAAGTATCCAGAATGTGCAAATCAAGCCCGTGCTGGATGCCAGGGAATGATGGGACAGATGGCAGAACGCGGAAGTCATGTTGCCCCTCAAGGCGGGCGTCATTTGCCCATATCCTTTGCTTTGAAACAGGCTGAAAATGAAAGCCCACTGTCTCTAAAACCACCACAGTCATGGGTAATATGAGTTTTAGTTTGCTCATAAGCTCAGTGACAACACATCTATAGTCACAAGCCCCTAGGCCATCACTTGCTGACGCAGCAGATGTGGAAGCTGGAGGAGAAAGAGGGTAGGTGTGAAGCGGGGATATGAAGGAGTGCATGGCCAGGCCTAGGGAGAGGAGAGTAAAGTGCTTATTGGGGCGCAAAATTTAAAGAGTGACAGAAACTAAGTAATCGAGATAAATTCTGTTTCAATGCAATCTTTGAAAGAAAATCAAGATAAATGCAAAAAAGAAAATATACCCCATACTGAACAAATATGTCAAAAATATAAATAAAGACCAGTGCATGCCAAGCCATAGGAAAAGAGAAAAAAAAAATGGATCTGGAGTTTTTAACGCAAGAAAACTCATCAATAATATTTTCAAAATCTACATGTTTGCTTATTTCAGTTTTAGTTGAGAGAATAGACATGTTTGACAATTTCTAATTAACTGATGGCAATCTTAAATCATTTTTAATTAATTTAAGGTGACGTAAACACGTAATAGGGCAAGCGCAGTGGCTCACACCTGTAATCCCAGCACTTTGGGAGGCTGAGGCGGGCGGATCACCTGAGGTCAGGAGTTCGAGACCAGCCTGGCCAACATGGTGAAACCCCACCTCTACTAAAAATACAAAAATTAGCCAGGCGTGATGGCAGGCACCTATAATCCTAGTTACTTGGGAGGCTGAAGCATGAGAATTGCTTGAAACTGGGAGGTGGAGGTTGTAGTGGGCCGAGATCACACCACTGCACTCTGGCCTGGGTGACACAGCAAGACTGTCTCAAATTTTAAAAAAAAAGTTTATTTTGCTTTAAATAAAATATTTAAGCTTAAAATAACGTGTGAGTTTCAATAAACCTGCGTTTCAACTTTTCAAAAAAAATTCTAATGACTTAAACATTCTAGGAAAAAGTTCATTCACAATATATGAAAACAGGTAGAAGGGAGCACAGAATTTCCTTCCACCTCAGGCTCCAGTTGGCTTGATGTGGCCCTGTGGCCGAGGATCCTAACATCTGCCTCTTAACATCTTTAGTCATTGGGCTTCTAGGCTTCATTTCTCAAGGAACATAAGGGGTATATATTAAATGTCAAGCAAAGAAATCTGACAGGCTTTTTTCCAAAGGAGTTGACAGTAATTTTCTTGAAAAAAAAAATATCTAGGAAGGGGAGTGTTTTTTTTTTTTTTAACGGAGTCTTGCTCTCGGCCTCCAAAAGTGCTGGGATTACAGGAGTGAGCCACTGTGCCTGGCCGGAAGGGGTTTTTAAAAAACCAGTCTTTACCTCCCATCCCCATATCCTTTTGGGACAATGTGCCCCCTCTTTCATGGCCTGTCCTGGGCGTATGAGGAGACGTGCCAGCAGCTGTGTCTGTTGCCGGATCATCATTTTGCTGGCCACAGTTGATTAGGAAGAGGGAATGACTGGACTACGCTGGGCCAGTGGGGCCCTGCCTCCCTCCTGGGAATTTGAATTGGGAATTTGAATTATATGACACTGAATGCCCCTCAGGTAGCTGTCAGGTACCCAGACGCAAGGAGTCAGAGAATGTCATGGAAACCCACGGATAACCTGAAGTAACAACAGAGCAGAAAGTAAAAGACGGAACTATGCAGTTCCTATGACTGAGAAGGACGGAGGGCGGCTGCCTGGTCATTGCCCCATTTCCCTAAGGCCTGGCTGTATTGCCTGCATTGTAATGATGTGAGATTGTCTGACAGCCTCATAATAAAAACTATTTGAACCATATACTCCCTACCCAA